CTTATGGGTCGAAGATGGCACCAGCAGCTTATTTTTTCTGTAGCTGTGTTTTCTGTACTAGACAGTAGTTTTGTCTGCTGTATCTGTTTTCTTTATACTGGCTGTTTGTTATACAGTATAAGAAAGAGAGAGTTTTGTTCCAATTCACTGGAGTTCACCTCAGACCAGGATCGCAAATGGTGCCAGGAACAACCTCAGTCTCCAGACCTGCCATCGTTCAAGGGATCCCTAACGGCCAGAAAGTCGTGAGGCTTATTGTTTATTCCCTCTCTTCCTCATTATTTTTATTTACTTAATAAATGTTCCTTTCTTTTTTGTCCTTTATTATTACTCAATAAATGTTTGTATGTAAGGAAATTGCTATTGTTAAGCCTTCTCTTCATTACATTTAACCAAATCCAAAAAGAACGTCTTTGATGCACTCTGTGATCCAAGACACCAGCCGCAGCAGCTTCATCAATGGCCTTCCCTCCATTATATGATTGGAAGTGGAGATGTTCCCTGATAATTGCACAATTATTCATGACTCCTTTGATACCGAGCAGTCCACAAGACCTAGAGGATATTCAGACTTGAACTAACAATTGACAAATAACATTCACAACATCAAGTGCCAGGCAAAGACCATTGTCAACAAGAGAAAATCTAACCATCCCCCTTGACATTCAATGGTATTACCTTCACTGAATCACCCACTATCATCAGGCTGGGGATTACCATTGATGAGGAACTGAACTCGACTAGCCATATAAACCCTGTGGCTACAAGAACAGGTCAGAATGTATGAATCCCACTTCCTGTCTCGTCAAATTCTGTCCACTGCTTACAAGACACAAGTCAAGAGTGTGATGGCATGTTCTGCACTTGCCTGGATGTGTGCAGTTCCAACAACAATAGATGGCAAACTTTGAATTTAATAAAAATCTTGAATAAACAGCTAGTAACTACGTAACCACTGTTGCTTATCAGAAAAATCCATCTGATCCACTAATTCCCTTTAGGGAAGGGAATTTGCTGTCCTTCCCTGAACCAGCCTACATGTGACTCCAGACCCACAACAATACAGTTGATTCTTAACTGTCCTTCTGGGCAAATAAGGACGGGTAATAAATGCTAGCCTAGCCAGCAATGCCCACATCCCATGAAAAAAAAATAGAATAAATCAAACTATTTATATATGACACAAATTTAAATGTTTCAAAACACATGGTCAAATATAATCCTATTAGTCTCAACAGCACTCCTTTATAGTGCCTGTACCAGAAAGAATCCCTTTCTTTATCACATCCAAAGGGCTTAATTTAACTGTGATTTGAATTTCCAGAATTGAGTATTTGACAGCCCCTTCCTTGACTCTTCATACAACTGAGCTTAAATTTTCTTACATTCAAACAATCCCTTCTGGGTGTTAACCAAGCATTTCTGGTTTGGAACTTTCAAACTAAACTCCTTGCACTGAGGAAAGCTTTTTATTAATAGTTCTAAACTATCTCTCTTCTTTAGCAGCAACTGTCTTACATATCCAGCTTCAGCTAAGACTTAAAATCATAGAGTCATACAGCATAGAAACAGATCTTTCAGTCCAACTTGTCCATGCTGACCAGGTTTCCTAAACTTAACTAGCCCCTTTTGCCTGTACTTGGTTTGTATCCCTCTAAACCTCTCCTATTATTGTACCTGTCCAAATGCCTTTTGTAATTGAACCTGCCAATACCACTTAGTCTGGTAGCTCGTTCCATACACCCTCTGTGTGAAGAAGTTGCTTCTCCAGTCCCTTTTAAATCTTTCTCCTCTTAGATTAAACTTATGCTGTTTTGGTTTTGGACTCCCCTACCCTTAGAAAAAGATCTTGGCTTTCCATCTTATTATGCTCCTCATGATTTTATATAACGCAATAAAGTCACCCCTCAGTCTCCCATGCTCCAGGTAAAAAGTATCAGCTTATCCAGCATTTCCTTATAACACAAACCGTCCGGTCCTGACAACATCCTTGTAAATTTTTCCTGCACGCTTTCTAGATTAACAATATCTTTCCAAAAGCATGAAAACCAGAATTGTACACAGTATTCCAAAAGTGGCCTCATCAATGTCTTGTACAGCTGCAATATGATGTTTCAACTCCTATACTGAATGCTCTGACCAATGAAGGCAAGCGTGCCAAATGCCTTCTTCACCACCCTGTGTAAATGCAAAGCCGCTTTCAAGGAACTATGAGCCTGCACCCCTAGGTCCCTTTCTTCAACCACACTCCCAAGCGCCCTACCATTAACTGTGTAAGTCCTTCCCTGGTTTGCCTTACCAAAATGCAACACCTCACATTTACTTAAATTAAACTCCATCTGCCACTCCTCGGCCCATTGGCCCATCTGATCAAGATTTCTTTATACTGTTAGAGTACCTTCTTCACTGCCCATTATACCATCAATTTTGGTGTCACCCGGAAATTTACTAACCATACATCCTATATTCTCATCTGAATCGTTGATATAAATGACAAACAACAGTGGATCCAGAACCAACACTTGCGGCACATCACTGGTCACAGGCCTCCAGTCTAAATAACAACCCTCTATCACCACCTGCTGTCTTCTACCATCAAGCCTATTTTGTATCCAATTGGCTATCTCTTCCTGAATCCCAAATGATCTAACCTTATTAACCAGTCTACCATGTGAGACTTTGTCGAAGGTCCATGTAGACAATGTCTACTGCTCTTCCTTCATCTATCTTCTTAGTAACCTCTTCAAAAAGCTCAATAAAATTTGTGAGACACTTCAATGCACAAAGCATGTCTTAATCACCCCTTGCCTTTCCAAATGCATGTAAATCCTATCTCTCAGAATTCTCTCCAATAACTTAGCTATCACTGAAGTCAGGTTCACCCGTCCATAACAAGAAGGGTTTTGTCAAGCTATGAGTGTTTCCCTGGAGCCAAAATCAAAACTCTAGAACCTGCTAACTGAAGTCTAATGTACCACTGTTCATGCTGTTCATTTGTAAAATTCAGCCAGTAGAAAAAAAACCCCATTGCTGTCCAAGACGCCTGTCTTTCATACTGTTTCAAATTAAATCACTATCTCTTCAGAAATACCTACAAGTCAATCACTAAAACCATTTATAGCCACAGCGAAATCCCACATGCCATTTGCTCAATATCTAAATCCTACAATAAATGATTTTAAAATGTATATGTATGAATAACAGATCCTACACACAACACAATACCAGCAATGGATTCTAAGATTGCAATCAACCTAGGTTGTATGACATTATTACCAATCATAATGCTGCATTGCAATGGACCAGAAGCCAGCTTAAACCAAATACATGACACAACTATTATGAACACAGAGGCTGAGGAAAAAAAGTCCAACGCATGAGCGTGTGCTGATGCTGAGTGATATCAGCCAGCAAGACGATCAATTTGTCAGCTAAGAGTAACTGAGAATAGCATGCACCTCTCCAGGTGGGTATATGATCACCAGATCAAATGAGTTGTCAAATCTCCAAAATGTTCCATCAAAGTTGAATTATTAATCTTGTTAACAGTGTTTTACATGTCTGTATAATTGTTGAATTGACAACATGCCTCTTTATGTATACCTGTTTAGAACTCATTTTCTTTCGAAGCAAGGGGATGTTGTGTTATGTCTCGCAGCAGATATACAATATGCCTTTAAGGAACTAGCTCATGATGACATCACTGTATCATAGTATGTGACCTAATGGTACAAAAATCTCAGTCTCCATCTTACTAAGTCCTCTTGCAGCATGACACACTGACAGAAGTGTGCTACAGTACATCAAATACATTCAAATTGGCTTTGCTTTAGCCTAGATATCCAAGTGCCTGTAATTGTACTGTACAAATGTAGATACCTGGTATTGTAACACAAGTTCATTGAATTTTTTTAGTCCTACATGACTCACATCTAATTCATCTATTGTGACAGTAACATAAATATTTTCTCCGCATAGTTGCCAACCATCAGCTATTATGTCATGTCAGGTTGTCTAACCCAGCAGAAAAAATGGACTTTCAACTCATTTGGTTTGAATTGTGCCCAAACTGTGCATCAGATGAGAAAGAACAGTACTACAAGCCACTATACCATTCCACTCGACCAGTGGAAATCCTTCTCTGAAAGAGGGCTAGCTGTTCACAATAAAAAAACTTCAACCCATTACAACTCTGATAAATCTTCAGCCTTTACCATAATCTTAGCAAAATGTAAACATAGGTTTAATAGTTCTACCTCAGTTCATCCTTCTTCTGTAACCTGATGTTAATTATTTTTGCATCTTCAGTCAGGCATGAAAACAATGCATTGAACTATCAGTATGCCTGTCATGGAAGATTTTTTCACATAGTACATCTCAGGCTAATCTACACCATTATCAGTGTCTGTAGCTCAACTAGGCTGTGCAGTATTTATAGAAAGAAAAATTAACACTGGCTACCTTCCCTCAACATCAACATTTTGCTTAACCTTCAATACTTCACAATCCAAACATATAATTTAAAATCACACATTATGTTTCTATAATCTGTATTTTTCTCACAAAATTTGATAATTGCACATTTCTCAATTAATATTTCTGGCCACTACTTTGAAATTTCAAAATGTCAGTAACATTCAAACTGACAATGTACAGGAACAATGTAGCAGATTTATGAAGAGAAGCACAGAAGTATAGAGGCAGGGTTTTACATCAGGGAAAGAGGCTCTTCAGTCCATATGTCCTTGCCAGTCATCAAGCAATATCTACTCTAGTCCCATTTTCCAGTAATTGACCCCTAGCCTTGTATGCTTTGGTGGTTCAAAGTGATCATCTAAGTAGTAAATTTTAAATTTAAATTTTGCAGAAAATTCTATTTCCTCATCAATGTCTAAACCACTGTTTTACACATACATTTAATTTGAAGGTTGAGAGAATCAGAGCAGCATACAGTGTGAAATTACATTTAAAGAATTTTAAATCACATTCTTCCAACATACCTGTGGCAAAGCTTGCACAACTGTATCAAGTAAAGCCCGCATTCCAGTAGCCATCTTGAGTAGTTTCAGCACTGGGGATGTAGAAATTAATAAGGCACACTTAATATATGTAATTATTATAAATTCAAGTACTGAACACACATGGAGAGTAAAATTATTTGAATAGATGGTTTAAGTGGCTGCACCTACTCCCTTCCTGGAGATAGTGAGGAAAGTTGTAAGAAGGCAAATAATTTGGAAGATTAGTCTCAATGTGCTACCAGCCTGATTACCTTCCATTCCAGCAGTTGAGAAATGTGGCTGGTTCCCTGAATCAGGAACCAGGCCAATCTATCTGCTGAATTAATAGGTGGGTGGGATGAGGGGGTTGTCCTCCATTCTCCCAATCCAGGATGAATTGGGAGCAGGGATGGAGAGACAAGGAAGTGGCAACTGAAGGTCATCCTCCCTGATCTTGACTCTGACCTCTTTGAGCAATCTCCCTTCATGACCTGAAAGAAAACTGCCTATCTACTTGCTCTTGGACCTCCTACGATTGGCCGGCAGCTGTAGAACTATGACATCAAGGCCCATGATTTGTCAGGATGATTACCCCGATTGATATGGTGAGCTCTCTCATTGGTGGGGCAGGGAGTCAATCACTATTAGAAATGCACATACCCACACCCAGTGCTTGCAGCTCTAAAACTCAGTACAGAGCCAGATGGGTGTTTTGTTATTTGTCTGGTTGTGAAGCATGCCCTGAGCAAAGCTCAGAATTGAACATCGGTTTGGAAGGGCACACGTCCATTATAGAGCCCACCTAACTCTTTTCTGTTTGTTTAGCTCAAACCTGTACAAAGTAGGCTGTCCCCCCATAGTTTCTTTCCACCAGGGACAATAATTCCCCAGGTTGTACTGATAATAATCAACCCTAATGCTTTAAACAAACATAGAAAATGCTGGAGAAACTCAGCAGATCTGGCAGCATCTGTGGAGAGAGCAACAGAGTTAAGGTTTCAAGTCCATTATGACTTTTTCAAAACTGAAAGGGGTTAGAAAATGGGTGCTTTTTTCATGCTTCTGACAGAGGCTGAGGAGGGGCCAGGGAACAAGTGGTGTGGAGGCCCAGTGTAAAAGACAAAGGAGTTGCCAGTTGGGGTAGAACATGAGAGAGAACCCATATGTACCACTAACAATGTCATGGACTAAACCACTTGTCATGTTTCATTTGTTCTGGGTATAAATGTCATACAAAAATTTTCCACATTTCATAGAGTCATAGTTATGGAAACAGGCTCTTTCGCCCAACTTGCCCATACCACCCAGTTTTCACAATTAAACTAGTTCCATTTGCCTGTGTTTGGTCCATATCCCTCCATACCTATCCCATCCATGTACCTGTCCAAATGTTTTTTTAAAATATGAAATTGTACTCACCTCTACCACTACCTCTAGCAGCCCATTGCAGACACTCACTACCCTCTGTGTGAAAAAATTTTCTCATTTGAACCCTTTTGTATCTATCCCCTCTCACCCTAAACCTATGCCCTCTATCTTTAGACTATCATACCATGTTGGCTATCTACTTTATCCATGCCTCTCATGATTTTACAGACCTTTATCAGGTTACCCCTCAGTTTCCTATGCTCCAGGGAAAGAAGTCCCAGCCTATCCAGCTTCTCCTTATAACTCCAGTCCAGGTAGCATCCTACTAAATCTTTTCTGCACTCTTTCAAGTTTAATAATATCTTTTTTCATAGTAGGGTGACCAGAACTGCAAGCAGTACTCCAAATGTGGCCTTACCAACATGATGTACAGCTGCAACAAGATGTCCCAACTCCGATACTCAATCCTCTGTCCCAACTCCGATACTCAATCCTCTGACTGATGAAAGCAAGCATGCTGAAAGCCTTCTTTGCCACCCTGTCTATCTGTGACTGCACTTTCAAGGAGCTATGAACCTGTACCCCAGATCTCTTTGTTCTATAACACTCCCCAGCACCCTACTATTGACTATGTAAGTCCTGCCCTGATTTGACCTACTAAAATGCAACACATCACATTTATCTAAATTAAACTCCACCTGCCATTCCTCAACCCACTGACCTAGTTAATTTAGATCTCGCTGTATTCCCAGACAACATTGTTCATTCTCCATCACCCTACCAATCTTGGCATCATCTGCAAACTTATTAACCAAACCTCCTAAATTCTCATCCAAATCTTTATTAAGTGACGAATAACAGTGGACCCAGCACCTGATCTCTGTGGCACACGGCTGGTCATAGGCCTCTATCACCACCCTCTGTATTCTACCTTCAAGTCAATTTTGTATCTTTGACTAGCTCCCCCTGGATCCTGTGAGATTTAGCCTTACTCAACAACCTACCATGCAGAGATAGTAAGAACTGCAGATGCTGGAGAATCCGAGATAACAAGGTGTAGAGCTGGATGAACACAGCATGCCAGCAGCATCAGAAGAGCAGGAAAGCTGACATTTCGGGCCTAGACCCTTCTTCAGAAATGGGGGAGGGGAAGGGGATTCTGAAATAAATAGGGAGAGAGGGGGAGGTGAATAGAAGATGGATAAGGGAGAAGATAGGTGGAGAGGAGACAGGCAGGTCAAAGAGGCAGGGATGGAGCCAATAAAGCTGAGTGTAGGTGGGGAGTTAGGGAGGGGATAGGTCAGTCCAGGGAGGATGGACAGGTCAAGGGGGTGGGATGAGGCTAGTAGGTAGGAGACGGGGGTGGGGCTTGAGGTGGGAGGAGGGGATAGGTGGGAGGAAGGACAGGTTAGGGAGGCGGGGACAAGCTGGGCTGGTTTTGGGATGCGGTCGGGGGAGGGGAGATTTTGAAGCTTGTGAAGTCCACATTGATACCATTGGGCTGCAGAGTTCCCAAGCAAAATATGCCTACCATATATCTACCTACCCAAGCGAAACCTACCATGCAGTACCTTGTCAAAGACCTTGTTATGTTCATGCAGACAACATTTACTGCACTGGCCTCATCTACTTTCTTGGTCACCCCCTCAAAAAACTCAATCAAATTCATAAGACATGATTTCCCATGCACATGCTGACTATCCCAGATAAGTCCTTGCCTCTCCAAATGCCAACATTAGTCACCTTCCAACCTTCAGGCACTTTACCCATGGCTGTTGATGATACAAATATCTCCACTAGAGGCCCTGCAATTTACTCCCTACCCTCCCACAAAGTCCTGGATAACACTTCATTAAGGTGCCAGGGATTTATCTATCTTAATGCATTTTCAGGCTTCCAGAACCTCCTCTTCTGTGATGTGGACTCTCTTCAAGACATCACTATTTATTTCTCCAAGCTCCCTAGCATGCATGCCTTTCTCGATGGTAAATACTAATGAGAATTATTTAGTTAGGATTTCACCAATCTCTTGTGGGTCCACACAAAGATGGCCTTGCAGATCTTTAAGAGCCTTATACGCTCCCTAGTTACTATTTTGCCATTCAGGGGTACTTGTAGAATCTCTATGGATTCTCTTTTAGTTTATCTACCAAAGCTATCTCATGTCCCCTTCTAGCCCTTCTGATTTCTCTCTTAAGTGTACTTCAACACCCTCTATACTCTTCAAGGAATTCATTTGCTTCCAGTTGCCTATACATGTCATGTCCTTCCTTCTTTTTCTTGACCAGAGTTTCAATAACTCTAATCAGCCAGAGTTCCTTACTCCTGCCAGCCTTACCCTTCACCTCTAACAGGAACATGCTGGGTCTGAACCTCATTAACTCACTTATGAAAGCCTCCCTCTTACCAGATGTGCCTTGGCCTACAAACAGCCTCTCCCAACCAACTTTTGAAAGATCCTGTCTAAGACCATCAAAATTGGCTTTGTCCCAATTTAGAACTTCAACTTGTGGACCATACCTATCCTTTGCTGTAGCTATTTCAAAACTAATGCAATTATGGCCAATGGTCCCATAGTGTTCCCCGACTAACAATTCTATCACTTGCCCTGCTTTATTTCCCAAGAGGAGGTCAAGTTTTGCCCCTTCTCTAGTAGGGCCATCTACATATTACATGAGAAATTCTTCCTGAACACACTTAACAAATTTCTCTCCATCCAAGCCCTTCAGGCTATGGCAGCCCCAGTTGATGTTAGGAAAGTTAAAATCCCCTACTATTACAATCCTATTATTCTTGCAGCTATCTGCAGTCTCCTTTCTTATTTACTCCTCAATCTCCTGCTGACTACTGGGGGGACCTATAGTACAATGCTACCAAAGTGATCTCCCCCTTTTGATTTCTCAGTTCTACCCATATAGACTCAGTGGATGAATCCTCTTTCAGTTCTGCCATGATGTTCTCCCTCATCAAAAACACAACTCTCCCTCCTGTCTTGCCCTCCTGCTATCTTTCCTATAGCATCTGTACCCTGGAACACTGAACTGTCAGTCCTGTCCCTCCCTCAGCCATGTTTCTGTAATAGCTACATATCCCAGTTCCATGTACCCATCCACGTCTTCATTTACCTTACCTGTCAGGCCTCTTGCATTGAAGTAAATGCAGTTTAACTTCCCTTGCTTCTCACTGTGCTCTTGACTGCCCTGTCCAGTACTAGGATTACCAACGCTGCCTTTACTATTTAACTTGCTCTCATTAACTTTTGTACTGTCCTCAACTTTCTCTTTCGCTTAGACAACAGCTTCTCAACAATGAAAACATTTATATATGAATGGATAAGTATGTTGAGTTACTCAAAAAAGTTCTTTCTTTAGCCTTTGAGGTACCTAATTAAACATAATTTGGTACTATCTGGCACTAAATTGACAGTCATATTTGATAAGACTGCAGGGATGGATAGCCTTGGCTGAGAATCAAAGCGGCAGGCATTTAAGAAAACAGTTTATCACAAACAACAGATATATCCCAGTGAGGAAGAAGGATTCTAGAAAGGTGATAAACCAACCACAGTTAAGTAGAGAAGTTAAGAATGCTGTCAAATTGAAAGAAAAAAAACATAATAAAGCAAAAATTTGTAGTACACCAGAGGATTGACAAAGTTCTAAATACCAAAAAGGATGACTAAACAAATAATAAAGAAGAAGAAAATAAATTTTGAGAGCATGGGTTTTCTCCCACTTTCCCTCTTTTATTTTGGTATCCTGGTTGTTTGTTTAGCAGAGATGCAACAGCACTCCTTTGTTTCAGGTGACCTGCATGTAGAGCTTGAAAAGCAATTGCTGAGGTCAATTTATTCTGACAAATGTTGAAACAAAAGTGCAATTCAAAGGTCACAAAATAGAAAATAAAGATAATGTGTACGTCATACAAAAGGCTTTCAAAACTTTATTAGTGCAGATTCTATTGCACACCGAGATTAATTTCATCGCTAAAAACTAACTGTACCCACAGTGGAATAAAAGTACAGCAGCCAACTGGTCCACTCATTAGTTTCCCACTTGCTTTGTCACTTACAGTGAATTGAGCTAAAGGAACACATTGCCAATTGGCACTGGCGTAGACAGCTACTGCTCACACAATTCAGAACCAAAACTGATTAAGCTATATACACCCCATATGAGTTGCAGCAAATAATAGTACCAGGCAGTGATGCAGAGATTGCCATCTAAACTTGATGTTTAACTGAGAGTAGAAATGTAATTTAAGCTTCTTGATTGAGTTATTTATAATAATTCCCAGGCATCCATTACTCTTTATGCAATTGTGCTACTGCTGATGTAAAGTCCAAAGAGAAAAGAGGTACAAAATTTGCCACTGCTTTTCAAAAAGAAACATTCTAGCATAATCAAGAGAATTTTACAAGTTATACTAGTAAGGGATAATATTACCTCTTGCAATTCGTAGCACTCTCATGATGCGAATGATAGTGGGGTTAATGGGCAAGGAGGCATTAATTTCGATTTCTTCCAAGGTTATTCCCATTATTGAGAGAAGAACAATAGCGAGATCCAATTGGTTCCATCTGAAAGAGAGAAATTGTATTCCAAGAACACTGTAATTAGTGAGATTGCAATGGCAAATTTTTATGACATACCACCTGCAAGTCAACCAGTGTTGACCCAGATCTGCTGGGTCTCTGGATCATCAGGAACCAGACACATGAGCCAAGAAACACACCAGGGCCTCGTGGTAGTCCAAATATGCTGAATCTATGGGAATTGCTGGGATGTTTAAATTTCTGAAGGTCAGTTCCTCTTCTTCTCTAGATAGTTCAGATATACTTACCTGGGTAATTATGGTCAACTATCCAGGGAGCCAGGGCTGAATGAGCCCTTAAGGATGAGCCCTTAACCTCTGACTCTGCCCCTGAACTCCTTACTCGTTGTCAGACTTCACGAGTTCCTGACTATCATTTGACTGCGCCAACACTCTGACTCCCACAACCTAATATGACAGCCTCTATTACCGGACTAGCCAACATGCAGAGCTGACTGAAGCATGGAAAGTAAGAGAACAGCAACAATCCAATAGTGATTGCCACTTCATGGAAAATCTGGGCTCATGGAAAATCTGGGCTAATGAGTTTCAACTTAATTCATGCCATGTATTTTGAAACAAACAAGAACAAATCCTTGTCACTAGATTTTCTGTGAACATAGTGCCCCTTTAAACCTTTCACTGAGATATATGTAAACGTCACCAAAATGCTCACCAGATGACATCTGTTTGCTAACTTTATTTTCTAGGATTGAGAAATAACATCACTGTTTGACCAGATGTAACTCATCAGGGGTCTTTTACTTCCACAATGACTGTTCGTAATTAACAGGAGGGAGTATTAACATTCAAAGCACAAGTATGATTTTGTTCCATGCTGTGAGCTTCTGAATCATTGCAATCTTTGATTTGTAAAATTTAAAGGGATTTGCATAGAGCTAGCCCGAACAATCTTTCGGTCAAAATGTTCTCACCATGTTTTGGGCTTGGACTGGAGAATTGGTTGTGAATAAAAAACATTTTATGTTTCATTCTAACAACCTAGGACAGTAATTCACAGAGAGTTCTGCAGAGACTAAATGCCTGCTGACAGTATAATACATGGAAGCAGTTTTTATGACAAATTAACAAATTAAACTTAGGTTCATGCTGAGGAACAAAGCAACACCACGCCTTTCCATGTATCCTCAGCCAACGTTGGAAACGTTACATCAGTGAGAGTCTCTCATGAAATCCAAGATAGTAAGAAAACCTAAAAGATTAACTTAGCAAATTCAAGCAAAAGAAATAGCTCAATAACATGCTGCTGCATTTATATATAAATGTGAATACAACAAGAGCATAATATTAAATCCTAAACTACTTTAGTTAATGGAAAAAGAAGGAAGTAGTATATTTTAATGATAATCACTTTTATGTTGTAAATTTAGTTTTGGAATGTATCACTTGTTAACATCAACATTTATCGTCCATCCTTAGTTATCCTTGCGTAGGTAGTCACGTCTCCTACACTGAGTGGCATGCGCATCTGCCAAAGGTGCATCTGCAATGTTCACTTTTTCAAAGTGTACAATTGTACATGGCTGAAGTGAGACCAGACCTCAAGCACATTAGGGATGTGGCCTTTGCTGTCTGGGCCAACATGTAGCATCCATCCCTAATTGCTCAGAGGGCAGTTATTTATTCATTCACAGAATTAGGGCATCACTGATCAGGTCAGCATTTATTGCCCATCCCAAATTGCCCAGAGGATCAGTTAAGAATCAACCATGGGTCAGGAGTCACATATAGTCCAGACAAGGTAAGGATGGCAGTTTCCTTCCCTAAAGGTCATTTTAGTGAACCAGATGAGTTTACAGTCAACTAAACAGCTGTGGGTCTGGAGCCACATGAAGACTTGATGAGGTAAAGACAGCAGTTTCCTCCCCTAGTGAACAGGATGGGTTTTTTCCTGATAATGGTTTAATTCTATTTTAATTCATTTATTTTATTTCCAGATTTTTATTGAATTCAAATTCCACCATGTGCCTTGGCAGGATTCAGACTCCAGAAAATATCCTGTGTTTCTGGACTGATAGTCTAGTGATAGGACCACTCGACCATCACCTTGACTTCTACAAATCCCTGTACCAAATGAAGGATGTACTTTGCTGGCAAGGAGGTATGCTGACTCATGGAATGAGATAATTGTCTTTAGGTCACTGTTCCAAATAACCTTCTGGCCTTTTAAAAAAAGGCTTCTTCTCAGAACTGAAACCAAAACTCACCTGCTCCTATTTTAACATCCATATCCCAAAGGGTGATAAAATACATTATATGCATTTTATCACAAGATTGGTAAATAAAATTAGACTAAATGGGATTGGAGTTAATATACTATTATGGATTGAGAATTGGTCAATAGACAGAAAACAGAGAGTAGGATTAAATGGATCATTCTCAGGACGGCAGGCTGTTAGTAATGAGTTACCACATGGATCAATTCTAGGTCCATAGCTATTCACAATCTACATGAATGATTTGGATGTGAGGTCAAATTATAATATTGCCAAATTCGTTGATGTCACAAAACTGGTTGGGAACATAATTTCTGTAAGGAGATAAGGAGATTTCAAGATAACTTGGAAAGACAGAGAGAATGGGCTAGAACATGGTGGATGGAATATAATGTTACTAAGTGTATAGTTATTTAGTTTGGTAGATGAAAAACAGAGAGCCAGAATATTTCTTTCCTATCTCACCTTAAACCTATGCCCTTTAGTCTGCAAATGCTTCAGCCTTATATTTCGCATTGATGTACTGGGCTCTTCCATCATTGAGGATAGGGATATTTGTGGTGCCTTCTCCTCCAGTGGGTTGTTTAATTGCCCACCACCCATTCACGACTGGACATTTGGATAAGTACATGAATAGGAAAGGTTTGGAGGGATATGAGCCGGGAGCAGGCAGGTGGGACTAGTTTAGTTTGGGATTATGTTTTGCATGGACTGGTTGGTCTGAAAGGTCTGTTTCCGCGCTGTATGACTCTATGACTGCACAGCTTAGATTGTAATTTGATTGTGCGATTGCTTAGCTCTGTCTATCACTTGTTGCTTGTACTTTTTGGCATGCAAGTAGTCCTGTTTAGTAACTTCACCCGATTGTCATCTCATTTTTAGGTATGCCTGGTGCTGTTCCTGGCATGCCTTCCTGCACTTGCTATTGAACCAGGGTTAATTCCCTGGCTTGACAGTCATGGTTGAGTGGGGGATATGCCAGGTGATGTGCTGGAGTACAATTCTGTTGCTGTTGGCTCACAACACCTCATGGATGCGCAGCCTTGAGTTGGTAGATCTGTTTGAAGTCGGTCCCATTTAGCATGGTGATAGTGCCACACAACACAATGGAGTGGGAGTTTGAGATTCACCAGATTTATTCCTGAGTTGGCAGGATAATCTTATGAGAAGAGATTGAAGAAACCTGGTCTGTATTCCCTAGGTAGTATAGTTTATTAATCCATCATATAGGGTAATATAATGGAGTGCTCATGGGTTCTAGAGAAAAAGGTTAAAGGGCAATTCTGTTGAACTCTTCCATAACTTGTTAAATAGAAATAAAATCCTGGGCAGAAACAGAAGCTTCTGGAAAAGCTCAGCACGTCTAGCAGCATCTGTGAAGAAAAAATCAGAGTTAACATTTCAGATCTGGTGACCCTTCCTCAGACATGCTGAACTTTACCCGCAACTTCAGTTTTTGTTCCTGATTTACAGCATCTGCAGTTCTTTCGGTTTTTAAACAAATCCTGAGGCTTGACACAAACAATATTGTAACATTTTTAGAAATAGTAAGAACTGCTGATGCTGGAGTCAGAGATAACGCAGTGTGGAGCTGGAGGAATACAGCAGGCTGGGCAGCATCAGAGGAGCAGGAAAGCTGATGTTTCGGGTTGGGACCCTTCCTCCAGCTCCACAATATAACATTTTTAGAGATCTTTTTGAAATAGCTACCCTACTGTTAGTGTGAGCATTCTATACTATTAAATTGGCCTTGATTTTCAAACAAATATTGTAATACTTTAAGCTGGAATATTAGCACTTCATGCCGCTAACTAGTAGGCTGCATCTTATCTCCACATTAATGAGTTCTTATTTTTAAGCAGGCCACAGAGTGATGAGTGCTAATGAGAAAGGAAACTCCAGGATTTTGTCATGCAACTGAAGGAACAGCAACATAGCTCCAAGTCAAAGTCAAGATAGTATGTAACTTCTGAGTCTTTGGAATTCTTTTCCATTCCTTGCCAGGCAGCAGATGCAGAATCTTTAAATATTTTTAAGGTGCAGGTAGATAGATTCTTGATTACCAAGGGGATGAAAGCTTATTGGTGGTGTACGGGAATGTAGAGCTGAGGTTAAAATCAGATCAACCATGATCCAATTAAATGGTGGAGCAGGCTCAAAGGGCTAATTGGTCTTCCTTTTTCCCTTGTTCATATGCTCAAATTATGTCATTTAAAGGGTACTTCAGTCAAGGAAGTTAATTACCTAACTTTCTGTGGCATGTTTATTGGGAAATTACAATGCAATCCAGCAAATTTTTAGAAGTAATGGGAAGGTTAAATGTCTGATACAGTTCTTGCAGAGCAAAATGTGAATTCCACAAATCAAACAGCAAGTTCTAGCCACATATCATTCATGCCATGTGGCTTAATCATCAGACTTACTAGTCAATTTACAGGGTAAAAATATTGTTGACATGGCATTAATTTTCAAGAAAGAAATGGCTCACCGTCACTGTTTCTTTTAAACACTTCATTAAATCATCAAGGCATCATATATTTTGGTGATGGCACACAGTTTACTTTTGCAATGATCCCCTCATGGTTAACAATAGAAATGCTTCTTTTCTGGATACTCAAAAATTGACTTTGATTTTGTCAGCCCAAAGAAGCTTTGGTAGGCATCTTTATTCTGTGCTAATGAGCAATCCTTGATTTAACATTCTGGAAATGGTAATTTGGGTGCAATCCAACCACTTAAAGTACTTTCTATCAGTGCTAATACTCTGGGTTTCTTGTGATATGTATCCTGGATGCCATTAAATTCTGTTGCAAGTTTGTATATAAAATTTCCCAACTTCTCTACTTTGAGATAGGTTTGACACACCAGTGTATTAGCAATGACTTAATTTTGATGTATATGTAATTAGCAGCTGTTGATATTTATAGATCTTGTATGTGTGATGTGTACATCAATAGTGTAATATCAGCAATGTAATATCAATATTAATACACAAGAATTCCTATAAGTAAGCTCCTATTGTCTTTTAAAATAAACTCTTATTTAATCAGTGAACTCCAATTTCCCTTCCAACATATTCTTAATTCTGTTTGTTTTCTTTACCCAAGTTCCATTTCTCCCATCTCCAAGTGTTCCTGTTTAGTATCCTATCCGTGACTTCCTTAAAGTCCGTGAATACTATATCCATTGCATTTCCTTCCTTTCACCACGTTACATTCTCAATGAACTGTGTGAGTTCTGTCAAACATGATCATAACTTTTGAAATCTGTGGTAGTTACTTCTAACTATTATCTCTTTATCTAATAGTTCATGTCAAATTAATGTACCTGAAGTTTTATTGGTATAGATTTTGATCAAAGTAGCCGATAATAACTGTCTCATTCATTTAAATTCCTATATCACATTGGTCAATCTATTGTCCTCTGACTAAAAGCACACTCAATAGTCCTAAAACAGAAGTTCAATATTTTTTGCCATTTCCTCTTGGAGGATCTCAGGATGTTTTCCTGAGGCTCTGGTGTGTTCTTTTTCTGTTAACCTAATTCAAAATTTATCTTTGATACATCATAATACATCCTTATATTCCCTCCTGGCTTTGCTTATAATTTCCATCCCTTCTAAATTTATTACACATTGATGTACTCATTTTCCATTCTTGCCCAGTTAGCAGTCAGATTTCTGTTCCATTTTGATGTCGGCATTATGTAACACAATTTAGAAAGTAATTAAGTAGTTGGAAATCAAGCATATGAGAAAAGAAGCAGAAAAGCAAGACGATGGCAGATAGTTCCAATTAAACTGCTAGCACCAGCACAAATATGATGGGCTGAATGGAGTATTTTTGTGCTGCCATTTCTATATGGAGGTAAGAAAAGAAGTGTCTTACCTGTCTTTAAAGAACCTCCTGAAGCCAAATGCAATGAGCTTAAGAATAGATTCGAAGACAAAGACGATGGTGAACACGTAGTTACAATACTTTAGAGCTTCTTCAAGAGACTGGTGGAAAGCAAGTCAATAATAAAATATTACAAGAATACAAAAGGCAGAGTATTGTACTTAATGGGTGATGATATGTTATTAACATCAAATAGAACACTACCAGCTACTGAACATGTCCCACAATTGACGATGATTCACCAGTTCCAAATACATAAACATGTTCTTTCTACATGTGGAAATAAAAAACATTGTTGCAGTAGAACACAACAACAATCTTATATTTGAGTTGATTACATTGTTGTGTTAACAACGATTCATCCTACACAAGAAGTGGCCTTTTATTTAAACAATGTAAGTTCAAATCTAGAAATAGTGGTAGAAACTCAACGTTGACATCTGGCCCATCTAAATGGGATAGAAGCTATTCTTTGCCTCCTATCTAAGGGGAGTTGGAATGACCTCAATCCAGTTTCTAGTTCAGCATTACTTGGTATTTTATTCAATCAAAGATATCGCAATGGACTAGATTCTGTCAAGACCACTGGAACCCCAACTTCGGAAGTGGTGGAACACTAATCACGGTTTGCTTAGAGGTGACCAATTAAGAAATTGCATTCAGGATCCATGTCCAATTAAGGATCCCTAAATAGAAGGCCTGTGGCCATTGGCGTAGCTCCTTAGCATCTAGGGTTCATGGCTAAGGTATAAAGCAGCATTAAACAAACCTCATCTTCACTGGGAGCACTGTTTGCCACCAGGAACTTTCTAGCCACATCATCAATTTGTCCCCAAATGGAAACATAATTGAAATTAATTAGCTACCTGCCTCTACCAGGGAAGATTGCTTGGAAGTATGATCATGTTATGTTATTTAATTTTTCTAATGTTCCTGCCTGCGGATTCATTTCCCAGAAACCAGGAATATTCAAGTCCATTGTCCCTGGAGAGGTAAATGAAAAATGTCACGTTTGTCAAAATGACAAATGCAGCTGCACTGTAAGAGTAGGAAGTAATTGCAAATTAATTGAGCAATGCAGCACGAGCATTTTCTCCTCCTAACTTTTCTAGATCAGCATTTACTGCGCTGCACGTGGGCTTGGTAAATTTATTTCTGGCACTATATCCCTAAAATTGAAAATGTTGAATGATTTAATGCTTGTGTTTGCCAATCTTGATGAGAATAAAACTCAAAGAAACATTTTCTTTGAACTTTGCTTTTTTAAAAGCTCATGAACGATAGGGCTATGTGTTATTACCAAGTTATCTTTTTTATAATTATTAACAAAACCAGAAGTTTACATTCATTGGTTACTGGACCATAAAGACCATCTGTTAGCTAAGTTATATGTCTGCATTTCTGCACACACTTACAGGTGGCTGGTGGTAGTGCTCCATGGACATTGTGATAACATTTATACCAATAATGAATGTGATAAATAGATCCAGGTAGTGGTTGGTGCACAACTTATGGATGTAAAGTCGAGCTGGGGAGTAGTCAGCATAATAGGGTCTGCGTTGGGCTTCTGGTAGAGATAAAATGGGAAAAAATGAAATTTGATTACTTTGAATTTTCATAGGGAAAGTAAGAAACAATAATGTTCACAAATTTGCAGGTTATATTCACATATTTAATATACTAAAATCACTTAGCATCTTAGCTATTGCTGGCATGAGTTAGCATCATCTAATACCAATTTTCTGGTTTAATCTGAATCAAACTGGAGATTATTTTGGTGGTGGTGTAGACACACACTGGATTTTTTCATTAATTTGCAGACTAAGAATCTCTAAATTAAATTCCAGATTCTGTAGATATTATCTTCATAGACCATGACCTCTGCGGGTCATCAATGTGAAACCTGGAAGGGAGGAATGGTCAGAGCGAGTGAAAACAGAGATGAGAGGCTAAAGTTATATCATTTTCGTGCATCTAAACCACCAGTTGAATGGCCTTGAGGTTGCATGCAAATAAGTATGTCTAGTCCAGCGACTCTTACAGCCATACAGCAACATGTGAGTGTAAGGTACACAACAAAAGGACGAACTGTTTGTTTTAGAGAGATGGGAATTAATAGGTAAGTGGTTAAAAATTCACACATGCAATGTTGTGGCTTTCTGTTAAAGACATTTTCTAAATTATGCAATAAATATATTAGGGTTGAACAATAACTTTATTCTTAATACTAACTTTTACATGCTAATAACTTTGTTACAGACCTCTGCTATGAAGACAAACAAAGTTAATATAAATACTATCAAAAGCACTGAAGCCAAAGCAACAATTACACGAGTGGATCTTGTTTGTGAAATGGGACTAATTTATTATATTGCAACTATTGAGATGAAATATAGACCATGCAGTTAATACATGTGCATGTTGCATTAACACATGCAATTTACCATGCACTGCCAGATTGCACAGTGCTAGGTTAGGAAGGATTTTCTGAGGGAAGTTACAACTAAGAGAACAGAGAAAAAAGGAAGTTAACTATACAACAGGAGGTTTATTTTGAGAGGCTTTTGAAATAAATGATGTGTGTGGAAGGATCGTTCCCTTTCTAGCTCTTTAGGTGAGGTAAATTTGCACTTTCCTGGCAGTAAGGGTATCAATGTAAATGCAAGCTGTAAGTAACAACTGTTATTTATAATAAAAGATTTGTACTTAAAACGCTAATATAAAATATGGAAGAGACATTCAGGATCTAATTCGCTCAGAGTTCATCTGGAAAGCATTTTATCCTTGACTCTATGGAGAAGCACAAATTAAACTTGAATTTGTCATTGTTCTTATTGTTTTAGTTCCTCTCAGCTTCTATAAAGGAAATCATACCCTAATTCTCCCAATGGTTTGGACAGTAGTAACAATTTTCATTCGCATAATCGTTACTCCTACTCAAATACATTTATTGATATCACTAATCATTGTGCACATTATTGTATGTCTAGGATTTTTCTAGATTTTAATGTTTTAACAGCAGTATTAAAATTGAACTAATTCTATAGTTTGCAGCAATAATACAAAAGTTGTCGATCTAAACCATGCATGGTAATTCTCCTTGAAAGGTACAAACCAGTACTACACTCTTTTCTAGTAATTATGTTTCTGGTGAGAATGACAGGGAGAATTCATAGAGTATAAACAGACTCAGGATTCAACAAGCAGGTCCAAACTTCCACCACATGGCTTATAAACTAATAGCACAATGCCAGTTTGGGTAAGATTTTTGAGTTATAATTCTAAAAGAGAAGCAGCGGGTAACCAACTTCAGTGGATGAGTGACCTTCATGTTTGACTTTTCTAGTTTCTTCCAGGGGCAAGGGAGTGTTCTGAACATCCTGAAATATGAAGTCCAATTCTTCTCTGATGAAAGGTTTATGATTCTGTAATGCCTCAGCTAAAATATATCATGAATATTTTTATAAGGAATTATGCTTTATAGCATGCGATTGCAGAAGTGCACAGCATTGACCATACTACTGTCCTGGGGAAAGGAGTGGAGAGAAGCAATTTTGTTTGTTATTTGTGATTAAAATAACTAAATGCAGAAAAAGCAAAGTTTTCAGTACTTCAAAGAAACTGCCTAGCAAAGATGCAAGAGGACACATTCCTTCTAACCACAACATCTATATAGTAGAATTTTATAAACAGATTGTAACAAAGGACAGCACTAAAACGTACAGCACAAACTACACATCTTTCTGAGTCTGCCATATTCAGCCGAAACTTTGGGATTTCTCCAGGTACTGCTTTTGGCAAACATGTAATAGAAGAAAAATATCTTTTCTTTACGATTAAATATATTTTCCTATTTTTCTCTATCATCTAAAAGATCTTTAGCTATTAAAGGTATCAAGGGGTATGGAGAGAATGCATGAATATAGCGTTGAGATTGAGGATCAGTCATGATGATAATGGCAAAGCAGGCTTGACAGGCTGAATGGCCTACTCCTGCTCAAAGTTTCAATGTTCTATGTCAGTGTCTAATGAAGCATTTGTTGTATATTAATATGGATTTTCTATAAATAGCAATCAGGCAACGTGTACTTGTGAAAGATTTTTGTTAAGTTCATTAAATAGCTAGTTACTCTGTTTCAATATTGTTAGATGATATAGCTATAGAATAAACATTTTATTGGAAAATAAAACAGATGCTTTATACTTGACTAGCAGTTAATTTTGTATCACTTTGGCCCATGCCCTTCTGCTGTTCCCAGGACCAATAAACACTGTAGGTCATTTTATCTGAAAGAATTAGGACTTTGTGTCTGGTTAAAAAAAAAAGTTTGAAATAAATTAAACCTTAAAAATTACAATGCAACCAGTCTTTCCAGGTCATCATGCAATGTGAATTCAGCATGCACCGGCATGCTACAGGAATCACATTTTCTTCCCAGTTTGGAAACAGGCAGGGCTCAGAAAGATTAAACGTACTACCGACCAGCCAGGCACAGTTCCTTACTCCTGCGCTTTTTTTCCAACCGTCGCAAACGTTTCTCCTCCCGCCGGCGGGCCTCCTCAGCCTCCTGGTGCTGCCGGCACTTGTGGAAGTTCTCCACCACTACTCCCACGAACATGTTTAACACAAAGAAGCTCACAATCAGGAGAAAGGAGATGAAGTACAAGAGCATCCAGGGATTGTGGTTCCTTTGTGGCTGTCGATGGGATAGGAATGTGCAGGATGAGGAAAGGAAGGAGTGGAAGTAGAACAAAAATTAGACCAATTAACTTTTACAACCATTTGTCATAAAGACAAAGGGAACATTTTTGATTTCACATTACAATCATTTCCTTTTACGGGAACAGAACTGATTCACAAAAGATCGATGTAAACAAAGATTACACAGCATTTACAGAATAATAACAAGTTATTTGGCTCAACCTGTCTGTGCTACTGCTTATGCCATATAAGCTTGCTTCTGTCTTACTTCATTTAACCATATCTGTTTACTTTTCCTCCACTGTACTGATTAAAATTCATTGATATGAAATGTTAACTTTGTTTCTTCCCTCACAGTCACTGGTTGACCTGATGAGCATTTCCAGCACTTTCCATTTGCATTACTTCATGTACTTATCTATCTTCTACTTAAATGGATCGATGTTAGTCTCTTCAAAAATCCGTTGTGTTATCAAATTTCACATTCTCACAACTTCCTTGGTAAAAAAAGAGTTTCTCTTGGATTTTTATAGGATTTATCAGTAACTATTTTATATTTGTGAACCTAGTTTGGACTCCCTCAAGTCAAAATATTGCAAATAATCCAGCAATAAAATAACTTATTATTTCAAAAGCACCGTTCATTCTGGTATATAAGGTAAATATATTTTAACTCGTTCTGAATGAAACGTAAATTAACAGCTTATTGAGTTTAAGTTGTTGCAAGAGGATTACATACAGTGTTTTTGCATTACCTGCTTATCAATTCCTATAGCATCGAGGCCATCATACATTATATTCACCCAACCATCTTTGGAGGATAAAACAAAGAGTGACATCAATGCCTAAAAACCAAAAATAAATACATTTATAAGTTTTTCTAAATTATTTGGTTTCCTTTCAAAATTTTTTTTCTCTTTATTCATTCATGGGATGTGGGTGTCGCTGGCTAGGCAGCATTTATTGCCCATCCTTAATTGCCCAGAGGACAGTTAAGAGTAACCACATTGCTCCGGGTCTAGAGTCACATGTAGGCCAGACCAGTTAAGGATGGCAGTTTCCTTCCCTAAAGGACATTAGTGAACCAGGTGGATTAAATGAATGCAAAGATTAAAAACTAAAATAAATATAAAACTGTCAAAAAACCCAAATGATACTACATTTTTGAAGACCTCAGAATTATTATCAAATGACAATGAAGGATATACTGTGATCCTCATTTTCTGCATGTCCACATTAAATAATTTTGCAGAGAAACTAATAAAGTTATTAAACCAATTTCAAATCCCACATAACTAATACCAATAATTTAACAAAAATTGAAAAATAGAGAAACAACCTTGTAATTTCTACGCTTTTCTCTGAATGCATTTTAAAAGATGGCAAATTTGTATCATGCCAACAATAACAATTATTCCATTAAATATAGAACTTAAAACATACCTGTCCAAGATTATCAAAATTGTATTTACGGCGCACCCATTTATAGTTAGCTTGGACACATTCTGACTTATTTGTAATATTCCTGGTATCATGTCCATCACAATGGTAGAACTTGCCTTTAAACAACTGCATAACATGAATATATAGATTTGTGAAGGAGAATTTTAGATGCATTCAATCCACATCATGATTAAAAAGCAGTCACAGCCCTCTTCAACTCCTTGGTCCAAATTGTTCCCCTCGCCCAATAATTTCCAGGAAATTATTGCAAACTACATTTCCTTTTAGAGGAGTTGTTTCTAGAGGTATGACCAACATCAACAACTCAGATTAAATGTGATCTGTGATTCAAGTTAAACCTATCATACAATTTCTATCACTCCTTGAGTTTCTGGCTTGCTGACTCAGAAAAGGGCCCAGCTGAATTTCTAAATCATAAAGTCTTCAAATTGATTTTCTATAAATGTTTTAAACTAGAAAGTAGAAAAATTCACATAATCCAGGAAGGATTAACAGGTAGGACCAGAGAGTTTTCCCTTCCACAATCTCTGGTCCAGTTTGTTGCAATTTGAAATATGTATACCTTCAAAAGGAGTGTTTCTTAAACTACTATGCATGTCCATGAAATATGAGAGATGATATAATTATAGGCACCCCACAGCAGCAGTTCTACAGGTGTGTCTACATAGCCTCCTAATATGGAGTCTTATGTTCAAATAAAGAACCGACAATATTGTTGTATCTAGCCTTGTTGCATGATTGGTACTATTGCAATAAATAGAAGAATGCAAGAGAGATTACAACACATAATTGAGAGAGAATAGAACAATAGGAATGAAACTTTGGCTTTACCCATATCATTCAAGATTTACAATTAAAGCCTTGAAACAAATTTGCACAGTTTTCAAAGCAGAATGCATTAAGTATAAAAGCATTGCACTCATGATTCTGCTTTCCTTGAGACACTTCAAATCTCTCATAAGAAATTAGGAGTAAATATTTCCTCTCCTGGCTAAATCTATTATGATAACGATATTGTTTATAATTTTCTATGACATAACTTCACTGCCCTCTCAAGAGGTAGTATCAGTTAATACCTGTGATTAAGTCCTAAGGATACACCATGCAGTGAAGTAGCCAGTTCTCAAACAGTATGGTTTTCAGGTAGCTTAGCAGAATTGTTATGAATTGAATTTTGCAAAAGGACAGTGCATTGTTTTTTAATATAGTGACATTTGACAGAAGTGTAGTGATGAGCTATTTCTTTGTAGTTTAGATAGTTTTAATGCATGTTTTGGAATCAATTTGAGAGAGATCTTGATGTGCATGCTTCTATAAAGGCAATAATCTTTGAGGGCCAGTTTACAATCTAGCTTACTTGTCTGCTTGTCAAACTCAGCTTAAGTTATTTGAATATGTGAAATCATATTTCTGGGGAGCAGTGCTCTGACATTTTATTAACAATCTCATATTTACCTGGACCCCCAAGATTCCGAAGATTATGAAGAACGCACAGCAGATGAGTACGATATTCCCGATGGGTCTAAGGGAAGTTATTAAGGTTTCTACTACCAGTTTGAGACCTGGAGCTCGACTGATGACTCTAATAAAAGGGATAAATTGCTATCAATAATCATAATCAATGGAATTGGAAGTTAACAGAGTTTCTAATAATAACAGCAAGAGAAAATGTGCTTGGATAGTGTAATAAAGGCGACTTGGCCCATGTGATCTTACAGAAAGTGGACTGCAGCAAAAGTATTAAAATATGACTTGTGGGGAGAATGTCACTCAACCCATCCCACTTTGAGTCATATCACGCTTAAGATTAAAATAAAAAGTCCCTCTGGATTTCTTACAATGGAAAATCTGTCACCGGTTCACCGAAAAATCTGAACTGTGATTTTATCACTTAAAATATTTCAAAGCATGTAGCAACTGTATAATACATAATAACTCAAATAAGTGTTACAGCAAGCTTTGTTTTACCTGGCACCTTATGAACCAGCAGTCTTGATAAACCAGCAAAAATTAAACACCTCAAATACCTGAAGTTTACTGTATTATCGCAATTTCCATGTGGTCAGTTGATGGTGCAAGTGAGAAGGCTCTCTGCCAGTAAGTTTTATTTAAGGAAAAGTTGCATTATCATTTAAGTAATTTATGCTGTAAATAAAGTATAACAGTGATGTGACTACCCTCTACATGAAACTTCTATTACTTACTGTGCATTTTTACATTGATTATGTGGACCTCTTGATCAACCAGCACACTCCTAGTCTCATTGGTGCATTATAATAAAAGGATTTCCTGGTTTTCTAGGAGATTTAATTCCATGAGAGATTAATTTTGGTACCTTAGGGTAAAATCCTGCAACACTTGCAAATATACTTAAGCTCAAGTTTTCTTCCCATTATTTAATGAAGCATCTATTTATTCTACGGCAATATAGAGCTTTCCTTTCAACTTCAGTAGCAAAGGTGAATTTGCCATAGATGTTCCAGACCATAGGACTATTCTTTTGATAGAGAGACAGATGACTGGTGGGTGGTTTAACCTGCAGTTATCATGCCTCAGGTGAGGGCAGAGGATGAGAAGGAGAACTTCAGCTGATGAAAGAATTGAACACATGCTGTTGGCACCACTCTGCATGACAAACCAGCCATCCAGCCAAACTGAGCTAACCAAACCTATTACCAGAATGTTCACCAGTTATACACCCTGCCTAACTTGCCTTCTTGCTAACCTCAATGGCAAGAATCTTCATGCATTTGAGTGGGATATATAATGGGCAGAAAATCTACGACCACCCATTCTTGATTACCACTAGTATTAAAAGTTATCTCCACAGTCTTCCTCAAAAAATTCTCTAGTATGACCTGCTGTTGGTGTTTACCAACAACCACCAACTACAACAGTTCAGGACTGTAGCTAGGGTTGCCAGTTGAACCATATGTCTGAGAAACTGTCAACTTATGGCTGATACTCCTTGGTAATTAGAGCATTATTTTACCATAAAGAGTGATGCTGAACCGAACCGAACCTCATCGCTCACTAGTGGGTCTTTCTTCTAGTTGTTCTAGTTCATCATGTGCTCTTCACAGACAAATGTGGAAGAGGTTTAATCCAGTTGGTACTTGTTACAACATTGTGAATCTAATTTTCCTGAATGCAGTTTAAGGCTCATAACACATATCAACTGTAGGAAATCTTCTCATATTGATTACTACAGAAGACCAATTGGAGGGATATAATCCGTGAAATTAAATTTATTTACTTCACTGTCACAAAACATATGAAATGAATCTGTAATATCATGTAGTCTTACACCAACATTTTTCTTGTTTGCATTCTGAAGAAACATTAAAACTTGCAGGTATAACTTCCCTTGCGTTCAAACAGGCAGTTTTTAAGGAATCAAATTGCAATATTTTGAAATGACTCTCATTTTCTGTACAGATGATGGAAACCAGGAGGACAAAGATTTCGAATGCAATAATTTTGTCATCCAACAATTTGTAGTTTTAGTTGCCTTATCTTTCACCCTTGTTGGAATGGACCTAGCCTGTCTCTGAAACATCTTCTCCTTAAAGGTCACCCATTGTTTCATTACAGTTTTTCATGTCAATATCTGGCTTCATTTCACCTGAGCTGGGTCCCCTGTCAGCCCATTAAAGTTGCCCTCTTCCAATTTAGAAGTTTTATTTTAAGTTGTTCCTTGCTCTTTTTCATTACTAATCTTAACCTTATGATGCAATGATCACTCTTACCTAACTGCTCCCCCTGTCAAACCTTTGGTACTCCTGAGTTATCTATGCCCCAGCACCAGATCTAGCAATGCTTCCTTGTTATTTAATTTAAGGAAAAAAGGGATTTTGAATTTAATGTTTTTGAAAACAGTGGTAGAAAATGTATCGAACTGTGTAAATTAAAGAAGGAAGATGTAGAATGAAAGACAAGAAATTGAGAGATAGAATGAAGAGAATTTTTTGTTCCAATTAAACTGATGATCTTTTTCATAATTTAATGTTCATTTGCAGTGGTAAAGCTGTTCCTGATGTTTCAATACGTGACAGCTCAAGGACGGAGGAGTTCTACTGGCCATACTGGCTGTCTAAAAGTTGAAGTATCAGTGGAACTTACCTCAGTGGTCGTAGGGTTCGCAAGAGTCGTAATACACGGAGAATACCAAGGATCTTTGCCCCTCCTGCTGATGCCAGGGAGACAATTATGTCAATTACAGAAACAAAGACTAGGATGCCATCCAATATATTCCAGCTGCTTTGGAGATAGGCATTCTCACCAGAAAAGAATCCTAGTGCTATGACCTGAGGAAAAACAAGTGATATTATCACAGACTATCAATGAAAACAATATTTTGCAACTGATTAAACTGAGGTTCTAGCCTGAGCTGCAATGGAAGCATCAGTCTTATTGGAAATACAGAGTGGAAAAATAAATGATCTATGTAATTCATCAATGGTGCTGAAACAGCTGATAAATTTTAAGGAGACCTCAGATTCTTAGCAGACATGACACTGGGGGTGGACTTCTATGGACTGGGGTTGACAAAGTAGGAGGTGACCAAAAGTAATAATACTGGCAGCGTGCATCATGATGTCCCACCGTGTTCCTGAATCCACTGATTTTTAAGATGATGGGAGGAGAGAGAGAAAAATTGTGAAAAATGGTAGATGCATTTACTCTTAATAGCTCGCGCTCTAAATTTTAAGATTTCCATGTGCTAGGCAGAGATTGGTAGTTGCATAAAGCTGAACAAGGACAGTTATCGGGAACAGGGTGAACAGTTGGACAAGTTTCATTTGGTATATAATCAGTGGAAGTTTTAAATAAAAACTATTCCATAGTAATGAAATTTTAATAAAATTAATATTGTCCTATCCTATCCTGGTTCTATTTCTTCACCTGCCCTGGACAATTTGAAGATTCAGATGCTTTCACTTTTTTGAAGAATGTATAGAGAGCAGTGAATTAGGTTAGAACATGGGCTATTTCACTGGAGTCTACCTCCAATCCTGCACGATCACTGACTCAACCCGTTCCGGTCACTAACTGGCTGCCACTCCCATCTCCTCAGCCAAGCTTTGCCTCCACCATAATCAAAAGCATTGTTTGATTTTTGACAGAGGCAGGTTCATGAACTGGAAATAAATCCACCCCTTGAAAGTTACTTCTTCAGCTAAAATCCAGCCCAAACATCTCATGCAGACACAATGCAGCAACAAAAAAAAGGAGTTAAATACAAGCCAAACAGTAAACTGTGAATCAGAGGAGGTAATAATCAACTGTAGGCTGCTCTGGTTAAAACGGCATCCATAAAACTGCATCTAGTTATGTTTCCCATGAATCTAGGTGGATGTTTAAGTAATATAGGTAGTGCTGAGAAAAGTCACAAGCAGGTCCTCAGTGTAAAGTGATTTGAGTTATAAAAATGAACAGAATAGACTTGGACTTACTGCCTGAAAAGGATGCAGCTGAGAGATGCCCTTATAAAGCTTTGAGATATGGTTAAGGATGTAGGAAAAGTTAATTCAGAATTTTACTTCAAATGAAACTGGGGAGCATTTTGGGAACAGTGATCATAATTCTGTAAGTTTAATCAGAGATGTAATGGCCTAGCAGTACTACCACTGGACTGTTAATCCAGAGATCCAAGTAATGTCCTCTGAACCCAGATTTGAATCCTGCCACATGTAGATAGAATTTGAATTCAATAAAAATCTGAAATTAAAAGTCTAATGATGACCATGAATCATTAGTCATTGTTGATTGTTTGAAAAACCCATCTGGTTCACTAATGTCCTTTAGGGAAGGAAATGGCAATCCTTACTGGGTCTGGCCTATGTGTGACTCCAGACCTTCAGCAATGTGGTTGACTCATAATTGCCCTCTGGGCAAATACGGATGGGCAATAAATGCTGGCCTAGGACGCCCTCATCCCATGACTGAATGGAAAAAAAGTTCTAAGATAGTTATGGAAAAGAATAAGACTCATCCTCAGCGCTAAAGTGCTAAATTAAGGGAAGGCTAATTACAACAATATTAGACAATAACTGGAAATATTGCATTGGGGGCAGCTGTTTGAAGGCAAACCCACATCTGACATGTGGGAGTCTTTTAGAAGCCATTTGACCAGAGTTCAGGCAGCATGAAAGATAAGGATGTCAAGATTCAGGAACCTTGTGTGAAGGGAGAGATGTTATAAGATTACGTTAAAAAAAGGAAGCATATGTAAGGTTTAGGAAACAGAAATCAAACAAGGCCCTTGAGGCGTACAAAGATAGCAGAAAAGAACTTAAAAAAAACGTAGGAGGGCTAGAAGGGGCCATGAAATGACCTTGGCAAGTGTGATTAAGGAGCAACCCAAGGTATTTTATACATATATTAGAAGCAAGAGGGCAACTAGGGAAAGGGTAGGACCACTCAAGGACAAAGGAAATAGTTTATGTATGGAGCCAGCAGAAGTGGGTGAGGTCCCTCATGTGTACTTTGCATCGGTATTCACCAAAGAGAAAGACATGGATGATGTTAAGTTTAGAGAGGGGTGTGATGTTACTTTAAGGCATGTCGATATTAAGAAGAACGAAGTGTTGGGTGTCTTGAAAAACATTAAGGAAGACAGATCCCCAAGATCTGATGGGATCCAACCCAGGATATTGAAGAAGAAAAGGAAGGGGATTGCTGAAGCCTTGATAGAGATCTCTCTATTCCCTCTAGCCACAGGCAAGGTCCCAGAGACTGCAGAATAGCCAATGTTGTTTCTGTGTTCAAGAACGGCAACAGGGATACTCCAGCAAATTACAGGCCAGTGAGCCTTACATCAGTCATAGAGAAATTATTGGAGAAGATTCTCAGAGATAGGATTTACTTGCATTCGGAGAAGAATGGACTTATTAGGGATAGTCTGTATGGCTTTAAGCAGGGGAGATCTTGTCTCACAAACTTGATTAAGTTTTAAGGAAGTGACAAAGATGATTGACAAGGGTAAGGCAATGGATGTTGTCTACATAGACTTTACTAAAGATGACATGAAAATTGGTGGAGTTGTGTGAATAGTGAGGAAGGATATCGAAGGATGCAGCAGGATATAGATCAGTTGGAAAGTTGGGCGGAGAAATGGCAGATGGTGTTTAATCCAGACAAGTGTGAGGTGATGCATTTTGATGGGTCAAATGCAAAAGGAAAGTATACAGTAAATGGGTGACATTTAGGGGCACTGATAAACAGAGCAATCTTGGGGTCCAAGTCCATAGCTCCCTGAAAGTCACAACACAAGTGGATAAGGTGTTAAAGAAGGCAAATGGCATGCTTGCCTTCATTGGTTGGGGCATTGAATATAAAATTTGGCAAGTTATGCTGCAACAGTATAAGACTTTGGTCAGGCCACATTTGGAGTATCGTGTATAGTTCTGGTCATCACACTATAGGATGGATGTGAAGTACTGGGCGGGGTGCAGGAGAGGTTTACCAGGATGGTGCCTGAATTGGAGTGTATGGCTATAAGGAGAAGTTGGACAAACTTGGATTGTTTTTGCTAATGTCGGAGGCTGAGGCGAGCATTAAAAGTATCTAAAATTATGAGGGGCATGGATAGGGTGGATATTTGGAGTCTCTTTCCTGAGGTGGAAATGTCAAATGCTCGGGGACATAGGTTTAAGATGAGAGGGGAAAAGTTTAAAGGTGATATGTGAGAAAAGTTTTTTACAAAGAGCAAGTGCCTGGAATGCGTCACTAGTGGAGGTGGTAGAAATTGATACAATAGCATAGAAAAACACATGAACAGGCAGAGACTAGAAGGATATGGACAATGGGCAGACAGATGGAATTAGTTTAAAAAAAAAAGCTGTTGGGATTTTTAGAATGTCATCATGGTCAGTGCAGACACAGTGGACCAAAGGACCTGTTCCTGTGCTGTACTGTTCTATGTTCTATGTGATTGGACAAGGAGACAGCTTCAAACTAGTAAAAATAATGTTAAGGTTGATCTGGAAATTCTTTGGATAAAAAGTAATGAAATGTGTAGATTAAGTTTCCAGATATATAATAAGGCACAAAAGCTTTGAAACAATTAGATTCTTTAATGATAGTTGATAGGGGAAGGTGAGACAGGTGGACGTCAGGGGTGTTTTGAGGTTGAATGGCTAGATTAAGGTGGATTGAATAGGCTTCCTCATCTCAGACCATCTTGTGATCAATGTTTCCTTTAGAATTTAGTTGCTAAACAAAGCCCATTCTTTTCAGCGCATGATTTCCTCAAATCTACTCACTGGTTCTCACAGAACAAGTCCTATGCAATATCGTTAAGGCTAGTGTGACTACCCACCAATGGAGCATAATGAGAATAGTGGTTGCAATCTTGCAATTTTCCAGAACCTCAGAGATGATGGATGATCACCAGACTGAGATATTAACTCTTCTTCTTTTTCCACAGATGCAGCCTGATCTGTTCAGCATTTCTAGCATTTTCTGCTTTTAGGCAAATCTTTCAATAACTTCAAAAAAAAAAGTGCTAAAGCACACATGGGACATTACCTTAAGAGCCATTTCAACAACAAAAATAGCAGTGAAGATATGATTTGAGACACTCAGAAACATCCGTTCCTGTTGAGGAAGGAAATAAAGCATTAAATGAGCTGTGAATCATTACATGATCAATTATTTTAAAGGATGCTTCTAAGCATCTGACTGAAAGACTAAGAGGTCTTGAGAGTAAAGAAAGCAATTAGCTGAGTGTTATTTATCATACACATAAAACCATATCAAGTGAAAATGCAAAAATCGGTAGCTGAGCCTGCATTACAAATACTCACTGTACTGTTTGGGTCAATCTCGGGTCTTTCAAGAGCAATTGTAATGCAATTCAGAAATATAAATACAAGGACCACATGGTCAAACATCTTGTGAGCAATGATCTTCTGGCACATGATGCGGAACCTGAAGGTGGTAGAAATAAGGATATGCCACTCATTCACTTGCAAGTTTTACCCAGAAAGGCTGCCACTTACATAGTATTACATTGCATTTAGAGCACAAGAACAAGCCTTTCAGCCCGACAGGCACATACCAGCACATGGGCCTCCTCCCATCTTTCATCTAATTTCATCAACTTACCTTTTTATTTTCTGGTCAATTATCAATGTTATTGTTTTGATACGGAAAGTATATCGTAATGGGTATAAAGATGAAAAGCAGTACTCAGTCATTGAACATAATTAATGTATTTACATATTGAAAACTGTAATAAACAACTTGAGAGCAGGCCATTATATATATGTGTATATATGTTATCTTTTATACCATTGAATACTAGTGTTAAAAGTATGAATGAAAAGAAATCAAAAATGAAATACAATGTACCGGTTTTGAGGAGCAAACAAGTAGAGTGCCCAATCCTCATGCGTTTTACACCACGTTGGTTTGTATGGCTCCAGAAATTGCCAGACTCTAAAACAGTAACTCTGTAATGAAAGGAAAATGATAGTTCACTGTCAACACAGGCCAATAAGTACAATTAACTTGTAAAACACAAGTAGCTATGCAGATTGTTACACTTATCAGTAACTAAAGTTAAAGGACAACTTTTATGAAAGGCATACCAAAATCAGGTTTTTAGAAAAATATTTGAATGATCAACTGACTACTGCTTTAAATTAAAAATCTATGTGTAAGCCTGAGATATTGTAAAGTACAATATCAACTTGGCTGAAAACAGAAGTGAAAGAAAACAGGAGTTAATGGTTTAATGATAGTTGAGCTGTGAAAACTAATCATCCTTGAGTTATAAAGAATGGGCATGATTTTTTTCTCCCTTTTGGCAGCAACCAGGCATTCACTTGCATGTACTTCAATACCTACGCATGAATGAAGTGTGAGAAATTCGAGCTTTAAACCTATAAGAAATGGACATAACATCTGTAATACTCTGCACTTTGAGAAAGCCTGCCACATTATAGGGGTGCAGAGCTTTTTGCCTTATGTGGCTGATTTCCAAATAAAAGTTGATGACAGACATGCACTGACAAAAAAGCAATCTACCACGACATAATTTATCTCTTGGGTGTGAAACATTTTGATGCTCCTAAGAATAAATCAATAATATAGAAGTTCAAGACCGTGGTCCCCTTGTCAGGCAGTCACAAAGCTGCCCCATCCTGTAATTTGCCTGAAAATCTTGCACCAGGGATGATATAGTTATGGTTTTGCCTCATTGTGACTCATTGTTCTCTCATGAAAATTTCCCTTGAGACATCATGATATGTCTGTCTTAATCTATACACACAGGTTGAACTAATTGCAAAATTACCTCTCTTTTATGCTTTCTTTGTCAGCAAATATAGAGGTATCTTGAGTAGAATGCTCATGACTATAAATGTTGGACTGATAGTATTGAAGGGGCTTATTGCCAAGTTGCCAAAAAATGAAGCAAAATGCATGGTGGAATCAAATTATTGGACAGAATCTTATACAAGTTGCTGGCATTGGGACAATTTCAAGGCATAATCCCCCAGAAACAGGCAATTTATAAGTCACCTCCAATTTAGGTTCGCCACCCAATAAGAGATGATGGGAAGTTTGCAGAGGGCCTGAAGTTACAGATGACTGGCTGTGCAACTGGGAAAGTATGCACTACCAAAGTATCAGTCAATACGTGTGGAGCTGGAGGAACACAGCAAGTCAGGCAGCATCAGAGGAGCAGCAAAGTCAACATTTCGGGTCAGGACCTTTCATCAGGACTGGGCTGAATTATGTAGGCGAGAGCACGGGTACATCATGTTGAAGGTGCTCCTGAAGACGTATGAACATTTTACAATAAAGCATTTCCATAGCTGGCAGACCAACATAATGGAAAGGAATTCCCACTGAAAGACTTCTTCTGGCCCAGCTGCTCATCCTATGATTCTGGGGTGGGGAATGTAAAGGAAGCAAAAATGAACTTGTCACCTTGAAGCTGCCATTTGGCACTTGTTGGACTTCAGTCAGTGAGACCTGTCCAATATTGGGAAATTCCTAGCATCAGCAAATTGTTTTGAATTAGTGCCTCACGTCATTCTAACTGATCACCTCCCTCTGCTGTCAAACTTACACATTGCACAACTCATAAAATTTGCTTCTGGCTCGACCTCTGTAGGATTGAGAACATCCTGTTGAATTAGTGCAAGTAGCCAGAAAAATTTTCCCTAGCTATTAAACAGGTTGCCTTTTCATCCCACATTTCCCAAATAACTGAATGGCTCATATGGCCACTTCCTATTTTATATTTGCGCTACAAGTTGACAGTGGATTCCCAGTGATGCACTTAAGGTACAGGAGAGAGCAGATGTTAATTGAAGTAAATTTGCATTGCCTCGTCAGGGGACTGCACACCTTGAGCACTCAAACCCAAAGTGACTGCATTAATTGCATGCACTTTAGTGCAGGTGATCTGTGAGCCTGAAGCCTGTGCTAATATTGTGTGCGCAACTTGCAAAAAGTTGAACTAGTGATGTGTAGTAATAGTTTCCTTCAACTGATCTGAAAATTTGAGTAATTAAGTTAACATTAACTTTCTTTAAATGATCTCTGTAACAGGACATTTTTTGCAAAGGTAAAATGCAGTACAAAAATATTCAAGTAGATATTTCCCTCCATCAGCTATTTCAATATTTGAATTCAGTTTCACTTAATTAAAGATATTTAGTCAGTATTAAGCATCTATCTGGATTAGCAATAGGTGTGTTGAGTAAAAATTAAGACAATTGGAAATCTGAAATTATGCTGTGTAACACTTAACACATTAACACATTTATACAAAATTTCTCTGCTGTTTCAACATGACATTAACTCATTTAAATAATCCTAATATTGCACAATAATTTCAACAGGCATAAAGTGATTTGATATGGGCAACAGAAGATAACTTCACAAATTTTAAAGAGTTAAGCAAACTTGCTAAATTTACATCATCAATTTCATCTTCATAATCGTTTGGGTCATCTTTGTGGTTATCCATTCGAGGAAAGATCTCATTTGGAAAGTGCAAGGATTTGCCATTGCAATCTTGGTAGTCACAAGGTGTTGTGCACATAGGATTAAAGGTCACAGAATGTCGCATTACTGGTACTTGAAGTAGCTCAGGCAAGTCTATGGATCCTTTGGTATCAAAAAATTCAGCACGATGGTGCAAGGACCATCCACTGAGGCTGCCAGCTTTGCTAGACTTTGCATCTTCAGATTCATCATCTTCACCACAATTTTCACGTCCTACACCCGAGAGCAGGGATTCCCTTTCATCTGACTGATTCTTCCGTTTTAGGCTGGGTGCCCTTCCAAGACTATGCCAGCTTGAGCGGCGACTACCCCAATTACTGTTGGTGCCCCAAGGGGCACAAGGTGAACTGCGAATGCTGGACTGGAAAACATAAATAGCAATGAAAGAGAAAGAAGATAAAGTCAAAAATTGTGAAATTATCAAATTTATTTAAGTTATTGCATATAGTAAATGGATTCTTTTGCTCTTCTCCTGAATTTTCTAACCACCTCTCACTTCCCTGCTCTTCCTGGGGCATTTATAACACTGTCTTATCAATAGCTTTGCATCACAAAAGCCTAGCTCTTGAGCCTTATAAAGCCGTTTCATTGTGGATGCTATCAAGTCAAGTCTTTTTCTTTCCTCTTTCATTGTCCACAGATTGGTTTTATAGCTTGTGATCAGAGAGGGGAAACTTTTGACCATTTTCCTCCTTCCTATCCTAAGGATACAAACTGATTTTAATATCCATATTGTCATCCTGACGGAGACTGCCTCACTCAGAACAGTGGAAACTTTTCTGGTCTGCACTGCTCTGTGTCTTCTTAAGAGATGTGCTTACACATAGAGTCACTGAGTGAGCTTAGGGCAAAGTGTTTCATTCTAGTCCCAATGCATGGCAATGATTTCTTCTCAACAGCAATGTCTTTCTCTGCATTTAAACATTTGAAGATATGATAATGTATTTGAAAGCAAATTGAGAAGGATAATATAGCTATTAGTCATGAGTTAGTGGACATTGTTAAAATGCATACTCACAAGGGTCTCAACATTAACATTTACTATTACTGTCAATCCCAAGGGGACGGCTAATCTTTCACTTCATCTGCTATTATCAGAAATACTTGCTTTGTGGACGGTTATGCACAGGTTTATCAACAGGAAAAATAGCTAAGGAACCTATTTTTTCCCATTGTATCTGCTGCCACTTAGCTAGTTATCACCTGTACATTACTGGAGTATTCAGTATTTACACAAAAGGTTTTGGGATAACCTCCTGACTATTAACAACAAAATCAGTATTAGTCCTGGTCCATCCTAAAGATTTTACTCTCAATTCTTTTGGATAACAACAGTTGAATTTTTTAGTACATCATGCTACATGTATTATGTTATGCAGTAAATTTTGGCATATACACCTACCTCCATACAGGAGTCTGCAATATTTATAAAAGTGTGCCAGTTTTATCACTCATAGTCAGTATGACATTCAGGCGACTGATCAACAGTCAAACATCTGAGATAGAACATGTTTCACACACATTGTACATATAATTCTGTAATCGTTCTTTCAAACCAAAGGCACTAGTGCCAACTGGTCATACAAGAAGTTTCAAATCCAGCTTCTTCCAAAGGTTACATGTTCTTGTGTTACCAATGAGTGAACATTACACAGTTCTACTTTTGCTTTGAATTTTAGAAATAAAACTGGTTCTTTTTCTGCAACATAATAGTCCAAACTTTCATTTACCAATTTATATTTCAAACAAAATATATATAATCCTGTTATCATTTTACTGATTCTTTTTAAAAAGAGTGTCCAAGTAATAATGAGTCTCCTTTTGCTTTGTTCGTATTTATGTGGCACTTCCCACATGCAGAAAGGCAATTCTGAATCTTTAAAAGATAAAGAGGAGAAAGTACAGTAAGAGGCAAAAACATATTTGGAGTTTGTGAGCCAAATCAAATTATGTTTTTTTGTTATAAGAGTTCTGAAATGAGGGAGGATGTTGGTTAAAGCTCGCACCTCATCCACCAGCCCTCCCAATCCACTTAACCCATGCCTCCTAACTGCTCCTTCAGGTCTCCTTTCTAAATCTATTCTCAAGCTTCTCTCTTCTGTTCTGAATATCATTGGGCAATGTGGACAGCAATTCCTGATCTCAGAGTGTAGCTGCATTCAAATTCTGGCAGCAGGAAAATAATGTAGGAGAGTGGGAGCTAAACAGCGGATAGAGTTAGGGGCAAGGCAAAATGCAGGGTTAATTTTGACTGGAACTCTGGTTATGTGACTGTGTCCTGAACATGTTGATTGTATTACAGATGGTTAGTACATAAGGGTTTGGTGAGCAAAAAGCCATTGGAAGTGTAGCATGTTTTCAGCGCAAGTATATAATGAAGCCATTGGTTGAGGTGGAGCAAAGTGTTGCATAGCATTGCAGTAGTGAAACTGAACAACAATGGCAAGAGAAAATTGTGGACATGACTGAAAATGTTGCACATGGATGAAGAAAGATCCACAGTGACAGCAAATCTGAGATTGAAAGAGAAAATGATCACATGTATGCTGAATCAGAATCTGAGGAAGAATAGTTGGTCAAGCAATTGAGAGAAAGCAAATCCAGGGTGAAGAAAGACAAAAAGAAAATGTGAAATAGATATCGTGTAGATTAAATCTCAAGGGAAGGATAGCAAGTGTACGTGTAAGAGAAGTAGAAATAGAACAAAATGTAAGATTGAGAAAGTATTTGTGACAGGTTGGAAGCTAATGGAAGGTGTGCATAATGGCTACTAAAATCAATAGAAATAAACAACGTAGAAGATGATAGTTTGGAGAAAATAACTAACAAAATAAATAAAATTTAGAACAAGAATTAAAATTAGAAAAATAGATGAGGGAAGGATCAAAAATAGCTGAGACAAAAGCAAATAGTGCATTTTAGGTCAGCTTGTTTGTTTTCACTATCAGTGAAATAGAAGAATGATCTTTAATATTTAGAAACAAACAGAGGATGGTACTCAACTGGCTCACTCATTGGTAAAATAGTTGTATTTCATATATGATTAAATGTGCATTTAAATGTTACAGACCATTGGATGTAGTTTCTCCACCAGAGAGATCAATTGGATAGAATGAACTTCTAAAAAAAGAGCAAAGCTGAAAATTTAATGCTCTTCTCTTATTAACCTCTACGTTACATTCTCTAGAGATTGAAAAAAAGGATTGATTGTTTAACTAGTGAGGTTTTTATAACTTATTAGGACAAAGGCATATTTGTATTTTCAAAATTTGCCGACACATTTTGGTCTTTGCAGCATCAATTTCTCATACACTTTATTTGTATGATGGTGAGCATTGTGTGTATAGAAATGCAATGCTCTGTCATTCCAACATTTGTAAGCTGGTCAACTTGAGAAAAATTACCACTTATTATGCATATCATTAATATGAATTACTTTTCACATATCATCATATCATCACTGCATACCAAAACAATGATGTGCCTATATTTGATAGCCCCTGAAAATTCACAATGTGCAATTAATTTACGCCTAGTAGTTGGAGTGCTGACAGAACAGCAACTTAATGCTTCCTGTTCATATTAATGATTTCAGTATCCAACCATCACTAATTGCACTGTTGATTTATTTGGCAGAGAAACAATATCAAGAGTGTCAACCATTACTCAAAGGTAACTGAAAGCAAGGCCTAATGTGTTAGGGCGAGTGGAAATGGCAGACTGGCAACATTGGTAAAATGACCCAACACAGTGGACAGAAAGCTCCATAGATTTCAGACATCATACTGGAAGCCTTAAAGTAACAGATAGAAAGGAGGAGAGATGGTCTGTGTGTCCAAGGCAAGGAGTGCCTTCAGCCAAAAGGTCAGAAGGCAGAAGGAGAATATATAGAAATATCAGGGTTCAAACCCTAAGGGCTTGGGCACAACATTGCAATAGTGCAATTACCTCATGAGTGATCAAGGTTACTATACACATCTTTAACTGCCAAATCCTAGCAACCACAACACTAGCTTCAGCCACTTTTCAATTCACCACACCCATAGCTAATATTTGCTATCCATCAGGACTCAAGCCTGAAATTCAAATCCGCCAACATGACCTCACACACTTAATATTGCTGCAAGCCTGAAACCCAATGCCTCACAACTTGTACCTTTTGCTAACTATTAATCCATGACAGCCACATCATCCAAACAGCTTCTTCAGCACTCAATGACTTACACTGCAATCTCTGGCACGCAAGCAGAGGCTGTAAAAGCTAATCCTAGGCACGCAGGCACATCCACATGTCCTAACTCTCATAGAAGAAACCATGCTGGCAATCACTGGGCCACTCACAGCTAAAGTGTGGTCAATGGCAGCCCTGAAACCATCAAGGATAATACATGCTCATACTAGTACTCCTGCTCACATCTCACATCCCCACAAATGCAAAGCAGGAATTTTGTCGTAAGTAGCTTACCATCTTTCTAAAACCTTTCCACCTATATGGCACAAATCAGGAGCATGATGAAATATTCTCCACTTGCCTGGATGAGTGCAGCCTCAATAACACTCAACAGGCCTGACACCATCCAGGTCAAAGCAGCACGCTTGATCAGTACCCAATTCCCTCCCTCCAGCATTAGCACACCATGCAGTAGTGTGTATCGCCCACAATATGCAATGCAGCAACTTAAAAGGCTTTTTCAACAGTATGTTCCAAATCAATGACCTGCACCACTTAGAAGAAGGAGGGCAACAAGGACATGGATCCCCAAACACCTAACAGATCTTGGTCAAGCCACATACGATACTGGCTTGGAAATATACTGCTGTTCCTTCATCACCCCTGGGACAATATATTTCCTCCCTAATACTATTTTGAGCACGGACATGGACTACATTGATTCAGGAAAGTGGCTCACTACAACTTCCCAAGATGAATTAATGATAGGCCTGCCAGTGCTGTCCATATCTCCTGAACATATGAAAGACTCTTCTCAGTACTTGCTATACTACTCCTAATAGTTATTTAAAATACCAAAAATCTATGGAAAGCACTGGGCAAATAAAGAATTCAATCAGCAACATTGCTATAAGCAGTTTTTGATCTCATTAAATAGCAATGGTGTGGGAGCTCTGCAGCTGAACAAATGTTCATTTGTGTAAGATTAGACGAGAGGGCAATGAGTATAGATGTCATCATGTCAGCATAGTATACCTTCACCAATAATGCTGCTCAGTGCAATTTGGATTCAACAAATGTGTGAACCTCTGATATGTTTGGGGCTCCAAAATCACTTATAGGCCCAAATGTCAGGTGTAAATGGTCCCAATTTCTCACCTTCAGTGTTGAAGAACAGCAGTTTGGCCTCTTCATGAAAATGTAGTCGAATATTTTATTTTATTGTTTGCCGAGGTGTTAAACATACTTCCTTTAAGTTAACAGCAAAGTCAACATTTTTTGGACTACGGACTTCAAAATGGGAAAAGAATCTGGTTTAAACCAAGAAACTACAGACAATGTTGCAGTTTTTAGAAAAATCAAATTACTGGAACATTGTATGTTGTATCTATAATATTGCTTTAATCAAGCAGTGGGCAGAGAATGCTTCAGCTCTGTGGGGTGAGTGTAGGGGTGTGTGGATATGGGTTGGTGTGTACGTGTGTGTGTGCATATGTGTGTGTGTCTGTGTCTGTGTGCATGGGTGTGTCTGGGCAAGCGGCTGCAGAATTCTGTTTTGAAAATACACCAGACACACCCAGCCTGTGATGAAGAAAATGTCACTCTCATTTAGTCTTCCTTCTAGTACAAAAGTAAAAGAAAGTAACAGATTCTGACTCTCACTCTCTGAAAATCCCCTTCTTGACAAGAAAAAGGGTAAAGCTACCTTCAAAGACACTGAATAGTGAATCGTCAATAGTGAATAAAACATTGATAATCAGCATGTCCATAACATCGTGTAATTTTCAAAGTGTCAAAAAGAATCAGAAAGAAACTGAAGGAAATGTTCTCATCAATGCTTGAACTGTGCTAGAACAGAGCTTTGTTGACTTTATTTTTTATTTCTTCCTCAATATTAATATAGAAATGTTTGTGTCTTCACTCTTCACACATTTGTTTACATGGATATGGGAATTTGCTTGAGGGGGTAGAGTTTAAGTCATAGAGAGTTACAAGTTACCAATTCAGGTTTCCTTTTTACCATCAGTCAAGAAAGACAGAAGTCACATGACACGAGGTTATAGTCCAACAGGTTTATTTGAGATCAAAAGCTTTCAGAGTACTGCTGCTTCGTCAGGTGAAGTGAAGGGAAGCATATGGGCACAGAATTTACAGGCGGAGAGATCAAAAGATAGTGCAAATGGTGTGAGTGGAGAGTTGAGATCTGATTAATTGAGGCAGAGAAAAAATTATGAAGAGTTAAAAATAAGATGGTATTGGAGAGAAACCAAATTGCTAGAAAAATATGATAGGTATAAGAGTCACATGCCGAGGGTCTAACCAAAGTAACAAGTAATCCAAAAGTACACCATCTAATTAAGATAGAGAGATCATTAGTTATCAAGGCGATGGTGTCAAAACAGGACAGTGAGAAAGATTTTACAAATACATAACAGTTAGGTGCGGTCACATGTAGCGCCACATGAACCCAAGATCACGGTTGAGGTCGTTTTCATAGGTACAGAACTTGGCTATCAGTTTCTGCATTGTTGTGCATCTCAAAGCCACCTCGGAGGACACTTACCCGAAGATCGGAGGATGAATGTCCTTGATTGCTGAAGTGTTCCCCGACTGGGAGGGAACATTCCTGTCTAACGATGCCCTGAGGTATGGTATATTGGTGAGACCATGTAGATGCTACAGCAACAGAAGAATGGACACTGCACAATAATTGCCGGACAGGAATGTTCCCTCCCATTCATGGAAAGATGCCTTTGAGATACACAACAACGCAGAATTGTTGAACAGAAACTGATAGCCAAGTTCCGCACACGTGAAGATGGCCTCAACCGTGATCTTCAGCTCATGTCACACTACATATAACCCCGCGATACTGTTCTATGTTTGTAAAATCCTCCTTATTGTTCTGTTTTGACACCATCACCCCGACAACTTGTAATGATCTCTTTACATTAATTAGTTTGTACAGTTTTAGATTACTTCTTAGTTTGGTTAGACCCTCAGCATGCAACTCTTATACCTATCATGTTATTCAAGCCATTTGGTTTGTGTCTAGCAATATCTAATTTTTAATTTTTTTGTGATTATCTCTCTGCCTCAATTAATCAGATCATAGGTCATCCCTTCATTTGGTATTCACCTGCTGACACTTTATTCACACTGTCTGACACTTTTGATCACCTGCAGAGACTTATTATTTGACACTCCACTCACACCATTTGTATGATCTTTTGATCTCTCTGTCTATAAATTCTGTGTCTGTTCTGTGTCTGTGTGCTTCCCTCTCACTTCACCTAATGAACGGGCTACGCTCCAAAAACTTGTGATTTCAAATGACCCCGCTGGACTATAACCTGGTGTTGTGTGACTTCTGATCTTGTCCACCCCAGTCCAACACCGGCACCTCCACATCATCAGTTAAGAACAATCTGCTTGCAATAAGTAGCTGTTTTCGTGTTGACTACAGAAATCCCCCTTAACAGAACTATCTGGAAATGCACTAATAGTGCCAAAAAATAAATGTGTAAATGTTATTCGACCTAGCAACTTACCAAAGACCTCTGGTCATAATTTGTAGGATCAATAGAAGCACTGCTGCCTCTTCTGGATTCTAAGTAAGTATGAACTGAATCCATACATGGTGAACTCTTTGGTGTCGGCATTGGCGTAGCAGCAGTACGCATGATAATTGGTGGTGGTATGCTGCTTCGTGAATCCAAATGTCCATTTGATGTCATGACGACTGAATACATTTTTAAATCTGTAAAGGGTAGAACAGGTAATAATAAAGGCAGCAAGCCCAAAAGAGAAATCTCTCAATCTACAATTAGTAACATTTATTCTTAGTCACTCTTACCAGAAGAATGATCTTTAAATTGTTCACACTCCTCATCAAAATTAGCAGATGTTTTTTCTTCATCTGTATCTGATCTGTTGGCATCACCCTGAAACATTAATTCAATATGTGAAACGAACAGCCAAAAATAGGCAGCAAATTGTCAAAACTAAAATAAGTTTAGTAAAACAAAATAGGTTAATACCTCATAATTTCAGCCAAAACAATTACCTGCTTATAGCTTATAGCCAAACCACCTCTCACAAAATAATTACCAAACTCTAATTTTATGACTTTTACTTGTTGTTGTGTTCTACCCCATCAGAATAAATAGTTTATCTCTAAATAATCATCTTAAAAGTCCCCAAGTGGAGTATCCCTTGTGGAATTTTCACAGATAGCCAGACCTGATATTTTATCGTATTTGCCAACTTTACCATGATACGATATTGGGTAAGGCTTCATAGATCATAGAATCCCTACAGTGTGGAAACAGGTCCTTTGGCCCAACAAGTCCACACTGACCCTCAGAGCACCCACCCAAACCCATCCCCCTATAACCCACCTAATCTACATATCCCTGAACACTATGGGCAATTTAGCATGGCCAATCCACCTAGCCTGCACATCTTTAGACTGTGGGAGGAAACCAGAGCACCCGGAGGAAACCCATGCAGACACAGGGAGTACGTGGAAACTCCATACAGACAGTCGCCCAAGGGTGGAATTGAACCCGGGCCCCTGGCACTGTGAGGCAGCAGTGCTAACTGCTGTGCCACCGTGCAGCCACCAATCCTCCTTTGTCTTACCATTCTCTCCAGTGCTATAAAGAAGGGCAGGAAAGACTGGAACTTTTTTAACTGGAGCATAGGAGGTTGAGAGATGACCTTATGGAAGTTTCTAAAATCATGAGGGTAGAGATAGGGTTAATGGTAGGCATCTTTTCTCTAGGATGGGTGATTTCAAGACCAGGGAGCACATTGTTAAGGTGAGAGGAGAGAGATTTAAAACAGACATGTGGGGCAATTTTTTTTACACAGAGGGTGGTTCGCGTGTGGAATAAACTGCCAGAGGAAGTGATGGATGTGGGCACAGTTACAACATTTAAAAGATGCTTGGAGAAGCATTTGAATAGGAAAGGTTTGGAGGGATATGAGCCAGGAGCAGGCATGTGGGACTAGTTTACTTTGGGGTTATGGTCAGCAAGGATCGATTGGACTGAAGGGTCTCTTTCTGTGCTCTTTGACTCTGTGACAATGACTCTATGTTCTTACTCAAATGACTACTTTTCCAGATCCACAATATTGGTTCTGATAATCTCTTGCTGGGCTCCTAAAACATTCCTCACAAACAGGAAGATGTCTCAGACAGCATTCAATAAGAAGGTAAGATGTATGGTGGGCACTGAGAATAGATGAAGGAGAAGGAAAATGAACAAGCAAGGATGGAGAACTGAAGATGGTTGGAAAAGGTTTTAACGGAGGCTTTTGTAAGAAGGGGACTGGATGAAGGGAACCAAATCAAGAATTCCAAAAGTCAGAGCTGTAGTAGCTAAATGTACAGCTGCTATTAATTGAATAGGGGAGAAGACAGGAACAGAAGGCAGGTTCTCACTGACAAAAGATGAAGGGAGATCATACAAAGACTAAAAACAAAGTCCAGGATATGACTTACCTCTGCTTGGAAGCCTTCCACAAGAATAGCAACCAGTAGGTTGAAAAGCACATAGTTGCCAAAAGTCATTAATGCCACAAAGTACAGGGCAGCCCAGGGTGAGGTGGAGGCCATTCCATTATACAGGACTACATTCCAGTCCTCCTGAGTAAGGATCTAAGGACAAAGATCTTGACATTACCACATGATCATGATGCTATGGAGTGTTTGAGATTGTCAGTTTTTTTTTACTTCAGGTTCCTTCCTTCCTCTTCTAGCTTTTCAAAAACTGCACAGGGTCACCATAATGCTGGTTGATCAAAGGCATGCTCCCTTATCAGTTTTTGAATCAGGCGGGTGGTGCCTGCTATTAATCCTACCCATGCATCTGGGTGGGGAACCAGTACTGATAGATACTGGCCTGAATTCTTAATCCAATTTGTTAGGAAAAAAATGGTCTTGGGCTTATAGTAAAGGCACATTTCAATTTAAAAACTTTACACCAGATCATCACAGATTCTACGTTATTTGCTCATGCGATGTGGTATTATTGACCATCCCTGCAGGCAATTGCTGTAGTACATCTGATAAAAATCATATATTTACAAATGCAATAATAATAAATGTGTTGACAAAATGAACAATGATAACATTATGTTCACTAATTAAAAATGAAATATGCATATTGGTAACTCTAAACAATGGCGATCAAACAACACACTATAAATCTGTAACAAAAAGATTGCTACTGTAAGGAAGAAAACAATGTTATCAATCACATTATTGATTCCAGACAGCAGCAGCACAACTTTTGCTTTTGTGGAATGGCCTCACCTGAAATACAGTGACGATTGCCCACAATAACGAATCAAAATTCTTCCTGTCTGGTATTGTGTCTCCATTCTCCATCTTCAAGCTGAATTTACATCCAAACAGGTGCATGCCCAGAATACTATGGGTCAAAGCAGAATAACCTTTACAAAATTCTGATTAACATACCACAAATGAAGCAACAGTACATCACTGCAAAAACCAGAATGCCTTAAAGATTTTTAGATCACTAAGAACACAGACTTAATTTTTTTAAAGCTCTAGTTCAATGTCAAAGATTTATGGTGAATGGTAAAAGAAGCAATGATGACATGAGGAAAATCATTTTTAAACTAGTGATGATTAGGATCTAGGGTGCACTGGTTGAGATTGTAGGGAAGCAAATTCAATCAAGGCCTTCAAAGAGAATTGGACAATTATTTGAGGGGAAAAAAAAAAATCAGGCTTTGAGGATACAACCAGTCCATGATTCAAGAAGAAACTGAGCTAGGTCTTCACTGGGACAAAGACACCTTTATAGATACTGATGCGATGTTGGAATGTGTGAGCTCATGCATTTTGGGCGGAATAAACAAAACCAGATTGTTACTTAAATGGAAAGAGATTCCAAAAAGTTAAGTGGCCAGAGATTTGAGTGTTTTAGCGCATGAAAGACAAAATTTTAGCATGCAGGTGCAGCAAATAATTTTTTTAAAAAATGGAATATTAGCCCTAAATGTTAGGGGGTGTAAACACTTAAAAGCAAGGAAATCTTGTTACAACTGTACTGGTGAGGCTACACCTGGAGTACCATGTACAGGAACGAAAACAAAGTTGCTGGAAAAGCTCAGCAGGTCTGGCAGGTCTGTGAAGGAGAAAACAGAGTTAACATTTCGGGTCCAGTGACCCTTCCTCAGAAATGATGGTTGCTGGGAAAACGTCAGTTTATATGCAGAAAATAGGGAGGTGGGTTCAATAATTTCAGGACCTAAACTCTCCCATGTCCCAGCCCCCTACCCCACACACCAGGCCTTGTTACCACATAGCCTATCATTACACGCCCCCTGTTGTTAGTCACTAACAGTCCCCATTAACAATTATTCACCCTCCCAGCCTGATCGTTAGCAACTCCTTTGTCTGTCCAACCGTCTTTCTCTCTCTGTGGGCTCTATCCTATCGTTTACTCCCTACCCCACCCACCTCCCTATTTTCTGCATATAAATTGACGTTTTCCCAGCCACCATCTGTTCTGAGGAAGGGTCACTGGACCCGAAACTTTAACTCTGTTTTCTCCTTCACAGATGCTGCCAGACTTGCTGAGCTTTTCCAGCAACTTTGTTTTTGTTCCGGATTTACAGCATCTGCAGTTCTTTTGGTTTTTATTTAGTACCATGTACAGTTTTGGTTCCTGTATTTAAGAAAGGATATCTAGCATTGGCAGCTCTTTAAAAGGGATTCACTGGGCTGATTCTGGGATGAAGAAGTCAACTTATCAAAAATGGCTAAAAGATTAGGCCTTTATTTATTACTGTTTAGAAGAATGAAGGATGATCTTAATGATGCATACAAGATTCTAAGGGGCCTTGACTGGATAGATATGGAGAAAATGTTTTCAGTAATGGGGAAATCTCAAACTTAGGGTCATCACTATAGAATAAAGGGACATGCATTTATATTGGAGATGTAAAATAATTTCTTCTCCCAGAGGATAACGAATGTCTGGAATTCACTACCCCAGAAATTTGTGGAGACTACATCCTGAAATTATTTAAAGAAGAAGTAGATATATTTTTGAAATAGCAGGGAGTTGACTGCAATGCTGAACCGGCATGAAAGACAGTTGAGATCTGGGGCAAATCAGCCATGATCTTACAGAATGGCAGGCAGGCTTGAGACACCAAATGGTCTACTTCTGCTCCTCTTTCTTATGTTAAAATGTGATCTATTGAGGGCATCGGAGCTGAACAATCCAAGAGAGTGTTTTTCTTTTTCTAGTTTTTCCTAGTTTAAGATGTTCTATGGTTAGAGTCCGACACAGACCTTGGCGGGGGTGTATTAAATACAGACGGGTAGGTGAGCAAGTGTCTAGTTATGGTGCTCCGGTCATCATGAGTGTGGAACAGGCACAATGGAGCAGTTGGTCCTTTCTCGTCAATCATTTTCATGTGTTGAACAGTGAGTAAAAGTTAAATAGACACACTGCAATAGAACACATTTTGCTCAATTATAATGCAAATTAATTTTTGTAATCACCTGAAAATAAATATGAACAGCATAAGCAGCATACAGAACGTAGCCACGTTGTCCATGGTTTTCATCAGAACCACTAACTGGCGTCGTAGTGCAGGCAGGAAACGGACCAACTTCAAAACTCGGAGCAGCCGGAATGTTCTCAGCACCGAAAGGCCACCATCAGACTGACCAATGATTTCCCAAACACTGGGAATAAACAAGAAAATAATGCTTATTGCCTTATTTTCAGGATGCGCAGAAGCATCAGTCTTTCTCTAAGACTTTTCTGTTTTCTTGATTACAGATGAGTAACTTCTCATACTCAGGGGAATGGGTCAAGAGGTTTTATAACAATTATGGTATTTGCTCACATGGTTGTAATTGATCATTATATAAAACATGTAAAAGAAACTTATGAAAAACTGGATCCAGTCATGAAGAAACAGTTAATGAATAAATACAACTTAACAGTAAATATAATCTCAAACGATCAAATTTAAGTACTTCAAGAATGAAACTGCACTGATCAATTATAATATCAAATGAATTAATTGGTTCAAAGTAAACATGAAAATGCTTTCTTTAAGAAGGTAAACAAGGGAATCTCAGAAAATGTCTTTAGCAATAACATCACATGTGAGGATTTCACCTCATTGCTTTATTGCAATGGAACAATATCTAAAATTTGTGATTACTCTTCTTTCCCATCTTCAGAGATCAAACTTTCTATCAATCTAACATGGTTCTCTTCCTATGCTAAGATACAGGGAGTTACAGTCATATGAGGAGTCCAAAATTGAAGAACAGAGTTTGAATGTGAATAATGAGGCTTGGAACCAAAGAGAAAGTAGGTCTGGCAATGAACAGAGAGTACTTGAAGCTGGAGAGGAAGCAAGTCCAGTTGCAGATTATTGGATCAGCTCATCTTCCTCTTTCTTTTGTAATATGTGGACTGTCAACTTACTCTAAACAGAGAACAAGGGAGGAAGCCCATGACCAGGAACAGTGATTGAGCACATGGTCAAGCAAAGCTACTCCTTAATTTCATGTGCAACAGCTCTTTGGATACCTCTGAAAATAGGATCAGCAATCAGCACCATGATGCAACTCAGGCTTATCATTTGATTTTCTATTTTGCACATTTTTATGCACGATAATGGGTAGGAAGGTTTAATATTGGAGACTGTATTAAGCTTCACTCATTGGAGGATGACATACAGACCTGGGTAGGGAAATCACGAGAATGGCTTTGGATCTTGAAGGGGACAGATATGTCATCCATGTCTCTGAGCAGTAACAATATCAACCTAGCTAATGTAACTTGTATCTAATTGTTATTGTGCAACAAGCTACACCTTACTAAGATCCCTTTTTGCTGAGACTTACAAGTGGCCATTCCTTTACCGCTGTAATCCAAACAACCTCTGAAAATAAGTCAAGAAGAGAGGAATGGTGGCAACACTCTTCTGCCTAAACCCATTTATTAAATTGGAAGGACCAACTATTACATCTGAAGACTGAAGTTCTTTCTTATTAGTCTTTAATATATAGTTGAAGACATACTAAAGCCCACATGGGGACAGAGAATGACAAACATTTAATTGCCAACATTTTGCCTTCAACTCCAATTTGCAAGCAACAGCAAAGTACCTTCATTGAACAAGTAGAAATGCAAACATCTATCACAAAAAAAAAGTTAACAAAGAAACAAATATTGTAAACCTACCTGATAATGACAACAATTCCATCAAAAATATTATATGGATTCTTAATGTAACCAAAAAGACCAAATGCAAAAAGTTTAAGAATCATTTCCAAAGCAAACATGCTGGTAAATACAATGTTGCTGATCTCCAGGGCATTGGTAAGCTCTTCCGGCTGTGAAAAGATTTGAAATGATCTTTTAGCAAATCAATTAAATCATTTCATTGATGGATATTAAAAAGAATATTAATTATGCCTAAATGGTGTAATAATTTAATTAAAACAATACTAGCCTTATATTTCTGTGAATGAAGAAAATTGAGAGGTGATCTAATTAAAATGTTTTGCATGACTATAAGATTTGATGGTGTAGAAAGACTGAAACTATTTCTTTTCATAAGGAAGCTCCACAAGGTGAACAATAGCAGCATTGCCTTATGCCTGTCCATAAGTACGCTTCCTTAACCTAACAGCAGGGCGTGCTTGAAGAGCTTGTGGGCTGTAATAGGAAAAGGTCCTACGTGAACAGTTTCCTCCTCACTTTATTATAGTTTCCTCCTCCCAGCCCAAAAATGAGAATAGGAAAATAGTTGAATTAAAGACAGTTTGTAAATATTTACCATCTAATCCATACTGATTGTTTGTTTTCTTCTTTTATGTTTAGCAGAATATTCTGTCCTAGCATGTAGTGTGGAGTTTCTAAGATTTTAAAGTCTGACCTTCTATTTCAAGGGTACATCAGTTACACTCAAAGCAACTGTAGGATGGAGGAAAACTAATCAGATGTTGGGGCAATTCACACATCTTACTTGCTGATCAAAGGAAAGGGAAGAAATTCAGTGTGACAATCATCCCAGTCAGCCCTTAGTATAATGTTTCACACAGCTTTACAGTGATTTTACAATTATATAATTTTACAAGCAGCCTTTACACATTAGCACACAACAGAAGAAGCTTGACTATGATTAAACATGACTCAGAAGCATTATGTATTGAAATTAGTGTGTGCAAATCTGGTAAGTATTATTAGCACTTCCTGTCAACAGTCAGGCATTACATTTCGTTGTATTAACACAATAATGCCTTTTATAACAGAATTTACACATACATATAAAGTAGATATTTGTGCACCTGAGCATTTAGGTGATGTTTATAGATCTGATAATGGCTTAGGCCATCATAAAACCTTTCCATGTGCAATTTCTCTTTAACATCTGTCAGCCTATGTTGGGTACTGTATTGTATTTATTAAACAGGAGTGGAATATTGAAATATTATCCACTGGCACACCTCTCCAAAATCACTTTAACAATTTTATTCCAAAATTCCAATTAATTACTCGCTCCCAAGGTTTCTGATGATAGCTAGAGCACCGACAATGGACAAAATCGGCACTTGACTGTAACTCTTAAAATTTGTTGAAACCATTGCTTTGAAACAAGAGAGTGGATAAGAGAAACTCTGGAACATGACGATAAAAATTACTAAGGGCTTCTGTTCACTCCACTGATTAAAATTAATGATATTCAGCAGATGGATATATTCACATTCTATTAACATGGCACTTTTCAATAGCAAAATATGAATTTAAAATTTATTAAAAATTTACATTTTTTTGTCATGGAAAGTAATTTTGAGGCTGCATAAAGTCGACAAAGTTCAAGGTTTCTACTTGGTCTTGACCTCATAATAGTAAAACTTTTATAACTGATGAAAAGTATATAGACTAAATTGGTTAATATAGCTATTAAAATGGGAGTTGAAAGCTAAAAGCTAAACATGAGAAAAAAGTGTTTACTTGCCTAACTAGATATACCTGCCATTACAAAAAAATTCTAAAAGTAAGCCCCTAGAAGTTGACACTTCCAGACCATTTTATCACCACTGATGCCATGAAATTTGATGATTGCAGCACAAAACTAGTGTACTGAACGCTAGTGAGAAATTAATAAGAAGAATTACAACTTGGAACTCAAATGTTATGCGTTAGGTGAGAAAAAAACAGTCTCGCTATTATGGTAAATATTAATTACAGAAATCTTCAGCTGCACGTTTTGTGTTAGATGGGAATGATGTAACCAAATACGCAGGCAGTGCACAAAAGAGTTTATAAAAGTCATGAAGTGTTGAAATTCAAAACAAGTCTCATTTTCTCACCAGGTACTTGTTAGTTGCAACATATAATTTTTTATCCAAAAATGGAACCTTGGGCTTGACAATTAGTCACTCAAAGGGATAAACACTGGCTACATTGTCAACACAATGTTCATTTGAATGGAAAGCTCGCGGTGAAATGTCAAAGGAAAAATGGTATCATCAAAGACTTTAGACTGAGGAACATTAATCATCACATGGCAGGTGATGCAGGATGTGTATGATATATGATAAACAGGGAGTAGAAAGAGTGCTACCAGATTAAGGTCAAAGTGGGTACGCCAAACCATGGTCACCAAAAGTCTGGAGAAAATTTTAAGATAATTTATTAAGTTTCTTTCATGTTTTCACACACGTTCTGTGGAAGTATTTTTTACTCATTACTTTTGCACTGATGAAGCTAATGGAAATTGTCAATAGAAATTACAATTGCAGGGCACTGCTCACATCAAGTTGTAAATTAAATTCAAAATTCACTTGTTAAACAAGCAACAAGTTAATTTGAGTAATTAATGAATTTAATTAATAATTCATATTTTGTTTAAATGTTTCGTCTTGCACTTATCACGACATTCAGAAGAAATACTGGTGCAAAGAACAATGTCTAAAACAGTATGAGAAGGCTATCCTAATTGGCTGGTAAGTGGACTCTGATTGAAATAAGTGTTGCCAGGGACAATGCACCAGTTAGGTAACAACTGACAATTAATCTTTGTAATGCAAACTAGGCAGGTTGATGCTGATTGGTCAAGTCACCACACTGAACCAGATAATAGATGTTGCCTATTGTTATGTTGAAATGAGCGCAATGTACGTACATTGTCATGACTCACTGGGGTAGTGCACTGGAAAAAATCTCTGTGTTATCTGTTAAAGTCATAGCTTACAACAACTGCTGAAGGAAAGATGAACTGCTTTTCTGCAGCTGTAATGTCATTTATGACTGCAGAGAGAAAGCTCCTGTATTTGTGGAAATTATAATGCAGCTGTCTATCTCATTCCCAGCCCGAAGCTGTTCAGTTACCTAAGAGACTATCACATAGTTGCTGGCAGGCAAAAGGCTTTTGTCATCAATAACTGTCACCAGTCCATAGACCAATCAACTTCTTGCTGTTACTTAACTGCATCTGTACACAAAACCCCTCAGCTCCTGTTCACCTGCAACTATTTCAATTACTGCTTGTTCAAACAGCTATTTAAACAATGTTTGTCACTTCAGTGTCGGGTGACTTGCTTTTCAAAACATGCAGCAATCCATCAAAACACTTCTTTTAAACAGGTCTATTTCATCATAGGATTTTAAAAAGAATAAAAGCAAAAGGATACAGTCCTTTCAATATGTTCTAACTGCCTGCAAAGAACAGGACCCTTTTTACTAATATATGCAGCTTCTAATATCTACACATGTGCCACATTGTGAACCTGACAATCTTAAATTGCTAATCAGTGTAATTCTTAGCACACTCAGGATTATTTATTTAGTATTGACAAATTACGGAATCATGTGTGATGTTGAATTTTTTTGTGGGTTTTGCAGACAGGGGCTGGTTGGCTACTTCACTTGATGCGTAGCTAAAGGGACATTCTCTTTAATATGATCTGCAATCTTTGAAATGTACAGCCTATATACCTTGCTCAACTGAGCAAGTTGCTGAGTTGGTAAATTCAATGAATACTGATTCACATTAAGGTGAGGGTCCAGAACACCATCGATCTGTGCATTAATGCAAATGTCTATAGTATTCTTGAGTGATATATTGACAAGTAGGCTAATCAACTGATCACATGGATGTGGCATTGCTATCAATCTGCAAGTCCTTTATGCTTCTTGCAAACATGAAGGATGTACATGTGGAAATCTTGTTCAAAACTGGCTGTAGCAAATTGTCCAAACATTTGCTGATTCATGTTGTGTAGAACCAGTCGTAGCTCAGATTGGGTGTAAAGGGACATTACTACTGGATGTCTTGGGTAGCCCATGCAAGATGGATGCATCGGAGCCGTGGGGATGAACCCTAACATATACATCACCCAGCAGCCTATTGATCTTACGCAAGTCTGAGAAGCATTTTGTTTAGCTTGCCTTCGAGCAAGACTGTCTGATCACATTGTACGGTAGGTCCAATGGATATGGATTGAATGTGTCATTAAAAATGCCTTCCATTTTGTTGATATAACCATATCTGCTAAGGATGGCTGTTCTAATCCCATTCAGTCCTGAGGAAGGGTCACTGGCCCCAAAACATTGACCCTGATTTCTCTTCACAGATGCTGCCAAACCTACTGAACTTTACCAGCAACTTCTGTTTTTGTTTCTCAGCATCCTCAGTTCTTTTGGTTTTTATTCTAATCCCATTGTCAGGTTTACAGAGGTGAAGGGATAGATTGGCCTTAAGGTCTTGAATGCTGCCAGACATGTGCGCTGTATGTAAAAATCAGACAGTCATTCAGAATCCTGCAGAATGCATATACTAAATCAGCTAGACATGCTCGTAAGGATTCAGCACCTTCAGTAGATGCTGGTTTGTGACAGGACAACTGGGAGTAGAGGAGATTAAATTCAGCAAATACCTCTTCCTGTATGATGCGCAATTGAGGCACAACAAAATTGAAGGCATGCACAAGAACAAAGTTCTTGCTTTCATGGTCAGAGAAATTTACTGAGTATTTAGAGACATTGTTAACTGCAATGTAAAACTGCATTTGCTTAAGTAAAGTTATAGTTTGGGATGCTCCATCAGGTACTGTTTAATGTATGGGCATATACTGAGACAAAGAGTGGGATCAATGGATCAAGTCAAAATTTATGCACTTTGGACCAAGTGCATGGTATAAATTAATATCCCTATTCCCTATCTGTTCAATCGAACAGGCCTAATGCGGCCAATTTTGGTCTTGAAAAATACCCAAACTACTCTGGAAGGGTAAAGTATCTCTCAAATTTGAGCAACAACTAAAGGTAGCTGTTTCATGTTATTACAGTTGTAGTTGGACATGAATGATGGTCATTACTATCAGGA